ATACTGGGCACCTACCGACCTGGGAAGTTCATCTTTCAGTGTCCTACCTTTTTAACTTTTCATACTGTTCACAGGGTCCTCAAAGCAAGACTACTGAAGTGATTTGCCATTCCCTTCTCCAGCAGACCACGTATTCTATTGTATATATGTACCACATCTTTTTTATCCGTTCATCTGTCAATGGCATTTTAGGTTGTTTCCAAGTCTTGGCTCAGCCAGCGAATATTTTAGGCTTTGTGGGCCATACAGTTGATCTTACAAGTCTGCAACTCTGCCACAGCAGTACAAAAGCAGCCAGACAAAACATAGGGGAATGAGCATGATTGCATTCCGATTTGATTTTATTGATGAACACCTAAATAAAGGCTACACTCAGTTCAGTTCAGTTCAGTCGCTCAGTCGTGTCTGACTCTTTGCGACCCCATGAATCGCAGCACGTCAGGCCTCCCTGTCCATCACCAGCTCCCAGAGTTTACTCAAACTCGTGTCCATCGAGTTGGTGATGCCATCCAACCATCTCATCCTCTGTCGTCCCCTTCTCCTCCTGCCTTCAATCTTTCCCAGCATCAGGGTCTTTTCCAATGAGTCAACTCCTCGCATGAGGTTAGGCTACATTAGTTATTCACAAAACATGGACCTCATGTTTACTCTGCACAACCACACCGGAGCATGAGTTAAAATTTCATAGGCCCACTACACTGTTTGCAACTGGCTGTGCTGTGATCAGTGGTTTCAGTCGTGTCCGACTCTTTTTGACCTATGGACCGTAGCCCGCCAGGCTCCTCTGTCCATGGGGATTCTCCAGGCAAGAATACTGGAGTGGGTTGCTGTGCCCTCCTCCAGGGGATCTTCCCGACCCAGGGATCAAGCCCATATCTCCAGCATCTCCTGCATTGCAGGCAGGTTCTTTACTCACTGAGCCACCTGGGAAGCTCATTTACAGTTTATGTTTCCTCAAATACAGTCTAATTCTTAATAGCGGCCGCTGCTAAGTCGCTTCAGTCATGTCCAACTCTGTGCGACCCCAAAGATGGCAGCCCACCAGGCTCCGCCGTCCCTGGGATTCTCAAGGCAAGAACACTTAAGTGGGTTGCCATGACCTTCTCCAATGCATGAAAGTGAAAAGTGAAAGTAAAGTCACTCAGTCATGTCCGACTCTTCACGACCCCATGGACTGCAGCCTACGAGGCTCCTCCATCCATGGGGTTTTCCAGGCAAGAATCCTGGAGTGGGTTGCCATTGCCTTCTCCATCTTAATAGCTAGAAACCTTTTATTCAATTTGTGAAGTCTTATCCAACAAAGACCTCCCATACAGCACAGGGAACTCTACTCAATATTCTGTAATAACCTACAAAGGAAAAGAACTTGAAAAAGAAATATATCTATATTTATAATTGAATATATATATATAAAACTGAAAGTAACATAACATTGTAAATCAACTATATTCAATTTAAAAAAATCTGTGAAGCCATAGGATTAGAGTCACCCTGAGCCTATATTTCCACCATAATTGAAAAAGTGAGGTATAGAGATTAGGGACATAGGTTTTAGAGTCAATCAGATGTGAATTCAAATCCAGGCTCCGCAGCTTTCTTAGCTGTGTAATATCAGGTAAACGAAAGAACATTTCCCAATGTTTCTTCACTTGTAAAACAGACAAATGGTTTGTTTGGAAGACTGAAAGAAATAATGCAAATCAAACTCTTAACATGGTGTTCAGTAAGTGCTCATAGATGATAACTCATTATCATTAATAATTGTTTTTATTTTTATCCATATGGAAAAAGCATCCATGTCATAGGGGTTCAATAGTTCATTTCACTGAGTTTACACCATTCTGTAATTAGGAAAAATCACCTAATGTAATTCAATATTTAACTGGGAAGCCTTGAGATTAATTTGATATAACAGACAGATTATACCGTGGGCTCCTGGAAGTGTGTTTCGATGTTTTATCACTCTGCCTTTCCGTATCTGTGAATTAATGGTATTTGTTGTCCATGTGTACTGTTTTTTAAATTACTACTTATTAAAACATTTTTTAAAAAAGAGCTCAGGCACCTTATAGAGAGCTCCAGATCTCATTAGACAAGTGTTCAAATGCAATCTTAACGTTATTTTTTGAAGTTTATTTCTTTTTTGGGCAATACAAGGTACATAGGACAAAATCCAAAAGGTACAAAAGATGATATAGATTTTTAATTTGAAAAAAATTTTTTTTTAAATTTTTGCCACGCTGGGAAGCATGTGGAATGTTAGTTCCCTGACCAAGGATAGAACCCAAGTCCCTGCACTGGACGAACCAAGTCTTTTTTTTTTTTTTTCATTTATTTTTATTAGTTGGAGGCTAATTACTTTACAATATTGTAGTGGTTTTTGCCATACATTGACATGAATCAGCCATGGATTTACATGTGTTCCCCATCCAGATCCCCCCTCCCACCTCCCTCCCCACCCCATCCCTCTGGGTCTTCCCAGTGCACCAGCCCTGAGCACTTGTCTCATGCATCCAACCTGGGCTGGTGATCTGTTTCACCCTTGATAGTATACTTGTTTTAATGCTATTCTTTCAGAACATCCCACCCTCGCCTTCTCCCCCAGGGTCCAAAAGTCTGTTCTGTACATCTGTGTCTCTTTTTCTGTTTTGCATATAGGGTTATCGTTACCATCTTTTTAAATTCCATATATATGCGTTAGTATACTGTATTGGTCTTTATCTTTCTGGCTTACTTCGCTCTGTATAATGGGCTCCAGTTTCATCCATCTCATTAGAACTGATTCAAATGAACTCTTTAATGGCTGAGTAATATTCCATGGTGTATATGTACCACAGCTTCCTCATCCATTCGTCTGCTGATGGGCATCTAGGTTGCTTCCATGTCCTGGCTATTATAAACAGTGCTGCGATGAACATTGGCGTGCATGTGTCTCTTTCAGATCTGGTTTCCTCGGTGTGTATGCCCAGAAGTGGGATTGCTGGGTTATATGGCAGTTCTATTTCCAGTTTTTTAAAGAAATCTCCACACTGTTCTCCATAGCGGCTGTACTAATTTGCATTCCCACCAACAGTGTAAGAAGGTTCCCTTTTCTCTACACCCTCTCCAGCATTTATTGCTTGTAGACTTTTGGATAGCAGCCATCCTGACTGGCGTGTAATGGTACCTCATTGTGGTTTTGATTTGCATTTCTCTGATAATGAGTGATGTTGAGCATCTTTTCATGTGTTTGTTAGCCATCTGTATGTCTTCTTTAGAGAAATGTCTGCTCAGTTCTTTGGCCCATTTTTTTATTGGGTCATTCATTTTTCTGGAATTGAGCTGCAGGAGTTGCTTGTGTATTTTTGAGATTAATCCTTTGTCTGTTGCTTCATTTGCTATTATTTTCTCCCATTCTGAGGGCTGTCTTTTCACCTTGCTTATAGTTTCCTTTGTTGTGCAAAAGCTTTCAAGTTTAATTAGGTCTCATTTGTTTATTTTTGTTTTTATTTCCAATATTCTGGGAGGTGGGTCATAAGAGGATCCTGCTGTGATTTATGTCGGAGAGTGTTTTGCCTATGTTCTCCTCTAGGAGTTTTATAGTTTCTGGTGTTACACTTAGATCTTTAATCCATTTTGAGTTTATTTTTGTGTATGGTGTTAGAAAGTGTTCTAGTTTCATTCTTTTACAAGCGGTTGACCAGTTTTCCCAGCACCACTTGTTAAAGAGATTGTCTTTTTTCCATTGTATATCCTTGCCTCCTTTGTCGAAGATAAGGTGTCCATAGGTACATGGATTTATCTCTGGGCTTTCCATTTTGTTCCATTGATCTATATTTCTGTCTTTGTGCCAGTACCATACTGTCTTTGATGACTGTGGCTTTGTAGTAGAGCCTGAAGTCAGGCAGGTTGATTCCTCCAGTTCTCTTCTTCTTTCTCAAGATTGCTTTGGCTGTTCGAGGTTTTTTTATTTCCATACAAATTGTGAAATTATTTGTTCTAGTTCTGTGAAGAATACCGTTGGGAGCTTGATAGGGATTGCATTGAATCTATAGATTGCTTTGGGTAGTATAGTTATTTTGACAATATTGATTCTGGAAGCACCAAGTCTTAACCACTAGACAACCCAGGGGAGATCCCCCAAAGACTATCCTGTGAAAAGGAAGTTTTCATCATCTCCCCACTACATTCTCTATCTAGTTGCTCTCCTGAGGGAGATGCGAACACACGCATGTGCAGAGAGATGTATGTGCACACACAGGCACACAGGTCACTCATGTGGCTGTGCACTTGCTCTATTTCTTAGAGCATATGGGACATTTCCACATCTCTGCAGATGGGGCCGCCCTGTGATTTTTAAACGACCAGCCAACACTTCATCAGAGGCATGTGCCCACATTATCTTACCAGCCCCCAGGGGACAGACTTCTAGGTTGTCTCCAATTGTTTGCTGTTTCAAAGGAACGTGCCAGGCTGCCTTGGAACTTTTCATCTGCTCTGCACCGTGATTTTGTTGTCCTTTGTCTTCCAGCAGGACTGGGAAGTGATTCTGCAGGGCTTTCCCTGAGGACCCTGGCCCCAGACTTCAGCTCATACTGGTGGGTTTCCTGGCATTGCCCACGAGCCTCCCGTGCACCTGGCAGCCCACGCCCGTGTGTGTGTGTGTGTGTGTGTGTGTGTGGGCGCGCGCGTGTGCCGGCTGTTACCGTGTGTATGTGTGTGTGTGTGCGTGCGTGTGCCGGCTTTGCCACCGTGTGTGTGCGCGCGCGCGTGCCGGCTGTTACCGTGTGTCTGTGCGTCTGGGCATGTGTGCGCGCGCGCACACTCACACGTGTCCCCAGCTGACAGCCGCACGCCCGCGTGGGCGGTTGCGGTGTGGGCCCGAGGGGCCGCGGGGTCCCTGTGCGGTCCGAGACCTCCGCGGAGGCCGTAGCCGCGGTCCCCAACCCTCCCGAGGCCGGGAGGTGTTTCAAGGTGTCTCCCAGAAACAGGCGCAGCCCGGGCCGCCCGCCTCCGGAACAATGGGTCCTTTCAGCCGCCCCGCAGACGGATGGCCCGTCGCCATGACAACCAGCATTGTGGGCCGTCTGAGCGGCCGGGTCCCGGCGCCCCCCGCCCCTCCCCCGGGCCCCGCCGTATGGTGCGTGTGGCGCTGGCAGCTGCTGTCCAAAGAAGGCACCTCTTTGTCTCCAGGGGATGAAAGGCACTCGGTTTTCATCGCCCCCTTTCTCTCCGCCGACCCCGCGCCCCGCGCCCCGACCCCAGAAGGTGCCCCCCGGCCCCCGCCCGGAGCCGAGGTCCGAGTTTCCTCTCGCCTTCGCCCTTCCCGGAGCGCTTCTGCCTTTACCTCCAACTCTCGGAGTCCCCAGCAGTCCCACCCTCGAGTGTGGTGTCCAAACTAGGGGAGCTCGCTTTGGGCATCCCGGGAGCCTTTCCCAGCGCTGCTCCGGAGCCCCGGCCCGCGTCGCTCGCCCCTCAGATCCAACAGCACCACCTTCCGTAGCCGAGAGCTCATTACCGGCCCGGGCCGGGCTGCGCGGATGCTCTGGGCGTCGAGCGGGAAGCCGGCTCTGCCTGTTTGTGGCAATGAGGACTGGTGGGTTAACTGACTCAGGGCTGGCCTTGTAACAGCTGGACGCCTTCTGGCCGGAGAAAAGACCACACAGTACAATATGACCGCTGCTGTGGTCAGGCGTCTAACTTAAAGGGATTATTAAGCTATTCTTTTTTTAAGTTTTGTGTGACTTTTCGTGAATACCTAAATAGGATTTTCTAAATTTTTACTGTGGAGGAACTTTGTGAAAATTAAATTCCAGAATGAGGAAAAAAAAAAAATTCTTTGGCTGATGGTGTGTTTGAGATTTGGAGTTGGAAGATTATTGTCCCCGGACTTACGATCCCTCCCCGCGACCTTAAAATTGGAACAGATGGTGTTTGCCAGAACTGTCTGCAAAGAAAGGAAAAAAAAGGTTACAGTGATGAGAGAAAAAGCAGGATCAAGGAGGCCGGATACTGGCCTGGAGAAAAATGCAGAAGCTGGGTGGTGGTCGCCAGCGTGGAGCGGAAGACAGAGCGCGAAACTGGGGTGTGTGGACCCATGATGGAGAGAAAGACGATTTAGTAAAGATTCGGTGTGGGTAGGAAAAATAATCGGAGTTTTCATAAAATTTTATCTGATACTCAAAGGGTAGACGCAATGGAGGGAGACGTGAGGATAACGGGTTTCAGGTCTCACTGTGCCTTGGTTTTTGTTTTTTTTTTTTTTAATACATCAATGTTTTGGAAAGACATTCTTAAAAAAAAACAAAACTTTGGGAATGTTAAAAGTGTAACAAGTGTAACGGAAAGGAAGTTCAGCAAGTGACTGACAAGAGCTACATTTTTCTGGTCTTTGCTTCCAGTTACCAGCAATTACTTGCGGTAAACAGGAAGCAGCCACGTCTGGCACACAGGAAACAAGTATTTGCAAAGCAAGGGTTTGTTATTTTTCCTCTGAGAATCATTTTTATCTAAATAGCTACCTAGAAAATAATAAGTATGTTGCTCTGAAAACTTTTCTGTACCCTCCAAGCTCCTTCCCCCTGCCCCCCAACATCGCTGAATAAATTTTGGAAGAAATTCAATCAGATTTTCAGTGAGAGTTGATGCCTATTTCCCCATGATTTCAAATGAGAGTCATGATAAAGTGTCACAATTTGAAACTCTGGTTATTTAATTTCATGGGCTTTAGAACATGTTCAAGATTGTTATTAACAAATGAAAACAATTTTCCTACGGTTGTATCTGCTGTCTGCTTTATACCAATAAACACATCATATTATGAAAGTTACACATGGAACTATGTAGAGACGTGCTCTTTGGGGCTCAGGGGCCGCCAGGGGATTAAAACTGAGGCCAAGTAGAGAAAACTCCAGGGTTCCCCATCCCTATGTCATTCAGAGCAGCTCTGACTTATCAGTTTGCTATGTCAGCTTTCATTTGTCCGAAAGATTTCACTGCTTAAAAAAAAAAAAGAAAAGAAAAAGGACCGCTGTTACAAAAGAAGCTCAGAGTTGGAAAAGATCTTTGAGATAAGTTAGTCCAGTCCTCCCATTTTACAGATCAGGACGTTGACAGCCAAGGGGTTTATCTAGGTGACTTGCCAAGGTCAGGCCCTCTGCTTGTGCCTATTTATGACCCTGTGACCACTTGCCGTTCCTGACCAGTCCTTTCAGACCAGAGCTGGACCCACTACCCTTCCCTGGCCATTGCTTACCGGATCTTCTTGTTCCCATGGCCATGTTTTTTGTCTTCTGATTTTAGTCTATCTTGTGGAGATTAAGTCAAAGCCGTCTTGTGGAGCTTTCCTGTTTTCTAGGCCTTCCCAAAGGCTTTCGATTCCACGCTTGATTTAAAATATCCAGTCTATCCACTAACTGTAGCCGCTCTATTCACTCCCAGTGGCTGTGGACAGGCTGTTAGTTGCCTATCCACTATCGAGTCTCTTATCTTCCTTGTAAACAGAATCCCCTTTTGGGGATGAAGGTAGTAATGTGCCCAGAAGAAAACATTCCCAGGACTAGGGGGCCAAGGGGAAAGATACGTTAGGAGTTTAGGATTAACAGATACACATTTGTTGTTCAGACACTCAGTCATGTCCAACTCCTTGCAACCTCATGGACTGCAGCATGCCAGGCTTCCCTGTCCTTCACTGTCTTCCAGAGTTTGCTCAAATCCATGTCCACTGAGTCAGCGGTACTATTTAACCATCTCAACCTCGGCCGCCTTCTCCTTTTGCCTTCAATCTTTTCCAGCATCAGGTGACCAAAGTATTGGAGCTTTAGCATCAGTCCTTCCAGTGAATATTCAAGGTTGATTTCCTTTAAGATTGACTGTTTGGATCTCTTTATAGTCCAAGGGACTCTCAAGAGTCTTCCCCAGCACCACAATTCAAAAGCATCAATTCTTGGCAATGTTCAGTCTTTTTTATGGTCCAACTCTCACATCTGTACACGACTACTGGAAAAACCATAGCTGTGTGGATCCTTGCTGGCAAAGTGATGTCTCTGCTTTCCAAAACACTGTCGAGGTTTGCCATAGCTTACCTTGCAGGGAGCAAGTGTTTATAATTTCACGGCTGCAGTCACCATCCACAGTGATATTGGAGCCCAGGAAAATAAAATCTGTCACTGCTTCCACTTTTTGCCCTTCTATTTGCCATGAAGTGATGGGACTGGATGCCATGATCTTGGTTTTTTTGAATGTTGAGTTTTAAGCCAGGTTTTTAAGCTTTTTAAAGCCAGATACACACTACTATATATTAAATAGATAAGAAAACGAGACCTACTGTATAGCACAGGGAATTATATTCAATATCTTGTAATAACCTATAATGAAAAAGAATCTGAAAAAGAATGTATACATGTAAATATAATTTAATCAGTTTACTCAGGAAACACTGCAAAATCAACTATACTTCAATTTTTAAAAATCACAAAAAACTAAAACACACACATGAATTAAAAAAAAAACAAGCACAACAGAACACTCCCAGGACTTCCTTTAAAAAAAAATATTTATTTGGCTGTACCAGGTCTTAGTTGTGGTGTGTGAGATCTAGTTCCCTGACTGGGGATTGAACCCTGCATTGGGAGCATGGAGTCTTAGCCACTGGACCATCAGGGAAGTCCCTCCCTGGACTTCTTTTAGCTTAATTCTGAGCAGTAGCCCACACGTGGGACTTCAGGAAAAGCTCAGTAAAGGAAATTAACTCCAGTGGCTCATGCCACTTGTTCTTTGTCTTTCCTTCTTTCTGCCTGGAGTATAGTTTGATGGCTGGAGCCACAGCAACAATGTTGTGAACATGAAGGTGAAAGCTCAGCCCTAGTGGAATGCGACAAGCTAAGAGGAGCCTGAGTCCTTGATGTGGAGTTGCCATTCTAGCCCTGGATCTTGAACCTCTTGTCTTCCCATAATGAGAGAAAAATAAACCCCTATCTTGTTTTAGTATTATTTGAGTGTTCTGTTATATGAAGTTGAACATAATCTCACTGGCTCCCATTTAGAATGAGAACAAAGTAGAAATTCAGTTTTATTGAATGATCCTTAACACTTACTTTTTGCTCATATAGTACTTACTTATACCATCACAGCATAATAATATTGATAATTCATTCACTTACTCATGTAATGAAACAATCTCCCTCCCCACCTCCCCCCCCACCAACACTCCACCCACAGGTACTGTATGTGCATGTCTTTTGAACAGATGTTACATCCATGTGCTGTAAGACCTCGAAGTTCAAGTTCAAGTGCTGCCTTGACATCTTTGAGCATCATCAGACCCAAAGGCCTTGCCAGATTTGCTGCCACCAGAAGCAAATCTGCTGGCAGCAAATCTGCTGCCAGCAGGAGAGGCCGGTTCATGAAGGCCACATGCTCACGGCTTATTGGCTCCCGAAGGCCCTACATCCAAATACCATTCCACTGGGCATTAGGGTTTTACACATGAGTTTCGAGGGGATGCAAATGTTTAGCCTGTAGCAAGGTGGTAAAGGCATTTGGATTGAAAGCCTCTGGGAGGCATTGATGAAGAAGGTAATGGCAACCCACTCCAGTATTCTTCCCTAGTGAAACCTGTGGACAGAGGAGCCTGGTGGGCTGCCGTCTATGGGGTCACAGAGTTAGACACAACTGAAGGGACTTAGCAGCAGCAGCAGCAGGGAAGCATTGAAGGGATCTTAGATGCAAGTAATTATTTGCAGTTTGAAGATCTCACTTTTGCTGCTACATAAAAACATGGATTAAAGGGATGAGTGTGGAACAGTCTGGAGGGGGTTTAGAGTCATTCAGTCCATGGCAGCCTGGATGAAGGTGGAGAGAAAACGGATTCCTGATATACTTTAGAGATAGAATCTTTGTGGCTTGCTTCTTGTCCAATGAGGATGAGGGTAATGGAAGAATTAAGGGGAATTCGTGTATATTGGTTTGAGTAGTTGAATGTCATTTACTAAGATGATGAAAACAGGAGGTGAAGTAGAGCTGCAGGAAGGAACAGATATGGGAGGGAAACTCCAGAGTTCCTTTTTGCCCTAGTAAGATGTCTGTGAGGCCAGCCCCTAAGTGGAGAAGTCGAGTGGGCAATGGGATATGTGTGTCTGAAAGTCTGTCTGTACCTACAGTCAAGCATACATCATTCAGGACTTCCCTGGTGGTCCAGTGGTTGAGAATCCACCTCCTAATGCGGGGACATGGGTTGGATCCCTGATCTGGGAAGATTCCACATGCCAAGGGGCAACTAAGCCTGTGAGCCACAACTACTGACCCCAAGCCCTAGAACCCATGCTCTTCAACAAGAGAAGCCACCCCAACGAGAAGCCCATGTGTGCGTGCTGGGTGGCTGCAGTTGTGTCCGACTCTTTGTGACCCTATGGACTGTAGCCTGCTGGGCTCCTCTGTCCACGCGATTCTCCAGGCAAGAATGCTGGTGACTGCAACTAGTGAGTAGCACCGCCCCCCACCCCGCCCCCACTCGCTGCAACTAGAGAAAGCCCAGGTGCAGCAGCAAAGACCCAGGGCAGCCAAAAATTAAAAAAAAAAAAAAATTTTAAGAGTGCATCATTCAGAGACTTCCCTGGTGGTCCAGTGGTTGAGATTTTGCTTTCCAGGGCAGGGGTTGCAGGTTCAATCCCTGGTCGGGAAGATAAGATCCCACATACCTCGTGGCCAAAAAACCAAAACAAACAGGAACAATACTGTAATAAATTTCAATAAAGACTTAAAAAGTGGTCCACATCAATAAAAGGAAAATAAATCTTAAAAAAAAAAGTGTATCATTCAAAGTGGACTTACAGTTACAACATTATCTAGACCAAGGGTAGGCAGAGAGCAGAGGAAGGGCTCTAACAAGCCATAGGATGCCCAGGCCCCAGAGGTGTGACTGTGGCCTCACGGTTGGGTGTTCTGGGGGTAGTTATGTAGGGAAGACATTTTCTGGTGCCATGATTCCTTGCCCCTGGGGAGGGGAATGAGTGGGCCTGCCTGGGGCTGCTGCAAGAGGGATGCTGCTTGCTGTCTTCTTGACACGCAGGGTTTGGGTTTCAGGAATGGGAGAGGGCTTTGCTGGGGCTTCTGAATACGAGGAGTGACAGAGAACCTCTGCCCCCTGCAAGAGGTGCACATCTTGAGACACCCTGATGACACCACAAGATGTGATGTGGCCTGTTACTCTCTCTGCCCATTTCCCCTTATCCTTCCCAAGTCTTAATTTTTATTTATTTAGCTGCACCGGGTCTTAGCTGTGACAGTGGGACCTTTTCATTTTAGTTGCAGCATGTGAGATCTTCAGTTGCGGCATTCGAACTCTTAGTTGGGGCAAGCGGGATCTACTTCCCTGCCCAGGGATCAAACCTGGGCCCCCTGCACTGAGAGCACAGAATCTTAGCCACTGGACCACCAGGCAAGTACCTATTATCCCCAAGTCTTTAGGTGAGCTTTCTCTGTGTCCACCTGGTCTCAGCTCTGCTGTGGGAAATTAAACAAAAACCAGTGTCTACTCTGAGGAGCCAGGGGCACGGAGCCTCCCAAGCGCAGCATGGTGGGGACAACAGCCAGCAGTTGGAGCTCCTTAAGGCAGAAATGGGCCTTTTGTTCCAGAGCAGGGGTGTCCGGCTCAAGCTCTCCTCTCCACAAGACGGGCTCCTTCCACAGCCAGCCTTAAAGAAGCTGGTTTTGATTCGTTCTTTTTTTAAAGGGAGCTGGTCTTTTCTTTGGAGTATTTGCCCATACTTGATTGTAAGGTCCAAGAAACCATCCTTTAATTGTCTTTGCACCCTTAGTGTCTAGGCGGTAGTAGACCCTCCATAACTTTTGGGGTCTTAGGTGAATGCACGTACATAAAGCATTGAGATATATACCTTGTGGTTCTCAAAGCATCTACAGTTCAGTGATGGGGAAAAGATTCATACCCGATGCACAGCTGAGTGTCAAGAGCCTCGTAGGTTACAGGTCAGAGCTGTGAAACGCTATTTGATCACAGAGGTGTCACGTGTGGACGGGAGGAGGAAGAGATGAGTGCCAAGGCACGTACAAACGTCTTTTTCTGTAAACAAGGCCTTTGAGATCTTAAAAATTAGTTAACTAATCACTCCCAGAGACCCCTGACAGCTGGGACTGACTTTTTTCAACTTCACTTTATTGTTATTAAAAAATTTATTGGAGTATAATTGATTTACAATGTTCTGTTCATTTCAGGTATACAACAAAGTGAGTCCATTCTTTTTTCCAAAAAATCATTTATCTATTTGGCTGCATCAGGGCTTAGTTGCAGCATGCAGGCTCAGTTCCCCAATCAGGGATCAAACTCACATCCTCTGCATTTCGAGGCAGACTCCTGACTACTGGACCACCAGGGAAGTCCCTGAATCCATTTTTTTCAGTCTTTTCCCCACATGGGTCATTACAGAGTGCTGAGTAGATTTCCTTGTGTTGCACAGTAAGTTCTTATCCATTATCTGGGCTTATCTGAGAGCTCAGTTGGTACAGAATCCACCTGCAATGCAAGAGACCCTGGTTCACTTCCTGGTTCGGGAAGATCCCTTGGAGAAGGGAAAGGCTACCCACTCCAGTATTCTGGCCTGGAGAATTCCATGGACTGTATAGTCCGTGGAGTCGCAGAGTTGGACATCACTGAGTGACCTTCACTATCAATTATCTATTTTATATACAGTAGTATGTGTATGTCAGGATATGGTTCACAAGATGGCAGAGTTGTACTTGCCCTGACACTTGTCTCTTCCTCCTACCATCCACACGTGCCACCACCAATATGCCAGCAAATTTGGAAAACTCATCAGTGGCCACAAGACTGGAAAAGGTCAGTTTTCATTCCAGTCCCAAAGAAAGGCAATGCCAAAGAATGTTCAAACTACCGCTTGATTGCACTCATCTCACACACTAGCAAAATAATGCTCAAAATTCTTCAAGTGAGGCTTCAACAGTATGTGAACCAAGAAATCCCAGATGTTCAAGCTGGATTTAGAAAAGGCAGAGGAACCAGAGTTCAAATTGCCAACATCTGTTGGATCATCGAAAAAGCAAGAGAGTTCCAGAAAAACATCTATTTCTGCTTTATTGACTACGCGAAAGCCTTTGACTATATGGATCACAACAAACTATGGAAAATCCTTAAAGAGATGGGAACACCAGACCACCTTATCTGTCTCCTGAGAAATCTGTATGCAGGTCAAGAAGCAACAGTTAGAACTGACATGGAAAAACAGACTGGTTCCAAATTGGGGAAGGCTGTATACTGTCACTCTGCTTATCTAACTTTTATGCGGAGTACATCATGAGAAACACTGGGCTGGATGAAGCACACGCTGGAATCATGATTTCCAGGAGAAATATCAGTAACTTCAGATAGGCAGATGACACTACCCTTATGGCAGAAAAGTGAAAATCTCTCAGTTGTGTCTGATTCTTTGCGACCCCATGGACTATACAGTCCATGGAATTCTCCAGGCCAGAATACTGGAGTGGGTAGCCTTTCCCTTCTCCAGGGGATCTTCCCAACCCAGGGATCAGATACAGGTCTCCCGCACTGCAGGTGGATTCTTTACCAGCTGAGCCACAAGGGAAGCCCAAGAATACTGGAGTGGGATCTTCCCGACCCAGGAATTAAACTGCATTGAAAGCGGATTCTTTACCAACTGAGCTACCAGGGAAACTCTAATGGCATAAAGCAAAGAGCAAGTGCCTCTTGATGCAAATGAAAGAGGAGAGTGAAAAAGCTGGCCTCAAACTCAACATTCAAAAAACAAAGATCATGGCATCCGGTCCCATCACTTCAAGGCAAATAGATGGGGAAACAATGGAAACAGTGACAGACTTTATTTTCTTGGGCTCCAAAATCACTGCAGATGGTTACTGCAGCCATGAAATTCAAAGACTCTTGCTCTTTGGAAGAAAATCTATGTCCAACCTAGACATCATATTAAAAAGCAGGGACAAGCTCTTTGCCGCATCTACTGCGAGAAGGAAGACCATTCTCAGCAATCAGACTGTCGACATCCCAGAAAATGTCGACATTACCTTGAAGGGATGGACAGTTATCGTGAAGGGCCCCAGAGGCACCCTGCGGAGGGACTTCAATCACATCAATGTAGACCTGAGTCTCCTTGGAAAGAAAAAGAAGAGGCTCCGTGTTGACAAATGGCGGGGAAACAGAAAGGAACTGGCCACTGTTCGCACAATCTGTAGTCACGTACAGAACATGATCAAGGGTGTTACACTGGGCTTCCATTACAAGATGAGGTCGGTGTATGCCCACTTCCCCATCAACGTTGTTATTCAAGAGAATGGTTCTCTTGTGGAAATCCGAAATTTTTTGGGTGAAAAATACATATGCAGGGTTCGAATGAAGCCAGGGTTTGCCTGTTCAGTATCTCAAGCCCAGAAAGATGAGTTGATTCTTGAAGGAAATGATATTGAACTTGTGTCAAATTCAGCTGTTTTGGTTCAGCAAGCCACCACAGTTAATAACAAGGATATCAGAAAATTTTTGGATGGTATCTATGTTTCTGAAAAAGGAACAGTTCAGCAGGCTGATGAATAAGATCTCAGTGATCCTGCTGCAGAAACAAGATAGCAGATGGTTCTATGGACTCAGTTGTGATATTTTAAAGAGATAATAAAAACTCTTGATTTGAAAAAAAAATAAAATAAAAAGCAGAGACAATACTTTGCTGACAAAGGTTCATCTAGTCAAAGCTATGGTTTTTCCAGTAGTCATGTATGGATGTGAGAGTTGGACCATAAAGAAAGCTAAGCATTGAAGAGTTGATGCTTTTGAACTGTGGTGTTGGAGAAGACTCTTGAGAGTCCCTTGGACTGCAAGGAGATCAAACCAGTCCATCCTAAAGAAAATCAGTCCTGAATATGCTTTGGAAGAACTGATACTGAAGCTCCAAACTCCAATACTTTGGCCACCTGATGCAAAGAACTGACTCATTGGGAAAAACCCTGATGCTGGGAAAGACTGAAGGCAGGAGGAGAAGGGGACGACAGAGGGTGAGAGATGGTTGTATGGCATCACTGACTTGATGGACATGAATGTGAGCAAGCTACAGGAGCTGGTGATGGACAGGGAATCCTGGCATCCTGCAGTCCATGGGGTTGCAAAGACTCGGACATGACTGAGCGACTGAACTGAAGTGATCTGTATGTCATTCCCAGTCACCTAATTTATCGCTTCCACTCACATCCCGCCTTTGGAAACCATAAGTTTGATTTCAAGATCTGTGAGTCTACTTCTGTTTTCTAAATAAATTCATTTGTATCTTTTAAAATTAGATTCCACATATAAGTGATATCACCTGATATTTGTCTTTGACTTACTCCATTTAGTACAATAATCTCTAGATCCATTCCTGTTGCTGCGAACGGCATTATTTCATTCTTTTTAATGGCCGAGTAATATTCCATTGTATATATGTGCGACATCTTTATTCATCTGTTGATGGACATTTAGGTTGCTTCCATATCTTAGCCATTGTAAACTGTGCTGCAATGAACATTAGGGTGCATGTATCTTTTTGAATTATGCTTTTTCTCTGAGTATAGGATTGCTGGATCATACGGTAGTTCTATATTTGGTTTTTTTAAGGAATCTCCATACTGTTCTCCATAATGGTTGTATCTCCATAATGGTTGTATCAATTTACATTCTCACCAACAGTGTAGGAGGGTTGGCATTGGTTTTTATGGTATTCATAGAAAATATCTCAGCAGTGAGAGCCGTTAAACACTAGAATGGTTAATCAGTGGCAGCTTTAGAAAATCTTTTCCTGGAGATTTTTTTTTAAAATCATGAAATAGATTCACTATTTGCCTAGGATTTCCTGTGGTCTCTCTTAAAACCATTGGAATGTATTATGCAAGCATCCGAAGTCTGTGTTGTTTGATTTGACTCAACAACTATTTAGTGTTGGCTTATTTGTGACCCTGGGCATCACTATGACTGAATTCACACCAACTGTTCCTGCCCTCAGGGTGCCTTTCTTCCAAGGATTCCCCATCTCAACTAATGACACTTCCATCAGCGTGGCTGCCCAGATCAGAAACCTATGAATCATCTTTGATGCCTACTGTCCACTACTCACTCCCAGTTAGTTTCAACCAGGATCTCTATCCTTCTAGCTGTCACTGGGATTTGTTCACTTCTCTCCACCTCTCCACCATGGCTGCAGTCACCCGTATCTCTCCTGTGGATTACTGCAGTGTCTAAGTGACCTCCCTCCCCCAATCTTGGCCTTGCCTAAATTCATCTGTAAGCACGGCATCTCTGAAATGAAAATCGAAGGCCTTTCACTCTCCCATTTAACCTCCCACAGTGGGCTCTCAGGCTCCTGAGAGAGACAGGAGGCGGGCACCTTGAGGCACATGGCTTAGACCTCCCTGTGCGTTTGAATCCCAGCTCTGCAACTCATCTCCTTACATGACTTTCGGCAAGTTACTTACACGCTCCCTGAAGCTTTCTCAGCTGTAGAAAGGGGATCAGAGCCATGATTCATCTTAGGGTAGTTGGGAGGATCAGAGGAACCTGGGTCTTCCTCTCTTCCATGAGCCCTTAACTTCGGAGTCCCCTGACTCTGGGCCTCTCCTCTCTCTGTGCTCACTCCCTGAGTCATCTCAATGGTCCCATGACCGACTATCCACATCCTGATAACTCCAAATTTATGTCTCCAGCTCAGACCTCTCTCACAGACCTGAAACTCATATATTCTTTCCAACATCTCCACTTGGATGGCTACTAAAGGTGCAATGTTTTAAAACTTAACAATTATGACATGCAAACTATTCTCTACAGAATAGGTAGATAACAAGGTCCTACTATATGGAACAGGGAACTATACTCAATATCCTGTGATGAACCATAATGGAAACAACTGTGAAAATGAATGTCTATATATGTATGCTGCGAAGCTGCTTCAGTCGCATTTGACTCTGTACGACCCCATGGACTGCAGTCGCCAGGCTCCTCTGTCCATGTGATTCTCCAGGCAAGAATACTGGAGTGGGTTGCCATTTCCTTCTCCAAGATATATATGTATAACTGAATCATTTTGCTGTCCAGAGGGGATTTACACAACACTGTAAATCAACTGTACTTCAATAAACTAAATAACAGCAAACAATTATTATAAATCTCACAACCACTTGGCTCTTACTTACCCACTAATCTCATTTAAGAAAAAAAAAATCTGCACTTTATCCCATTCCAAGTCAGCTAGTTAACTCTCTCGTGTCTAGAGCTTTCCACATGTACTCTTCTCTGCTCTTCCACCTCGATGGAATCTGTCAGTATTTATTTTTCTTTCATTTATTTTTATTAGTTGGAGGCTAATACTTTACATCATTGCAGTGGTTTTTGTCATACATTGAAATGAATTAGCCATGGATTTACATGTATTCCCCATCCCGATCCCCACTCCCACCTCCCTCTCCGCCCGATCCCTCTGGGTCTTCCCAGTGCACCAGGCCCGAGCACTTGTCTCATGCATCCAACCTGGGCTGGTGATCTGTTTCACCCTAGATAATATACATATTTCGATGCTGTTCTCTTGAAACATCCCACCCTCGCCTTCTCCCAGAGTCCACAAGTCTGTTCTATACATCGGAGTCTCTTTTTCTGTTTTGCATATAGGGCTATTGTTACCATCTTTCTAAATTCCATATATATGTGTTAGTATACTGTACTGGTCTTTATCTTTCTGGCTTACTTCGCTCTGTATAATGGGCTCCAGTTTCATCCATCTCATTAGAACTGATTCAAATGAATTCTTTTTAATGGCTGAGTAATATTCCATGGTATATATGTACCACAGCTTCCTCATCCATTCGTCTGCTGATGGGCATCTAGGTTGCTTCCATGTCCTGGCTATTATAAACAGTGCTGTGATGAACATTGGGGTGCACGTGTCTCTTTCAGATCTGGTTTCCTCGGTGTGTATGCCCAGAAGTGGGATTGCTGGGTCATATGGCAGTTCTATTTCCAGCTTTTTAAGAAATCTCCACACTGTTTTCCATAGTGGCTGTACTAATTTGCATTCCCACCAACAGTGTAAGAGGGTTCCCTTTTCTCTACACCCTCTCCAGCATTTATTGCTTGTAGACTTTTGGATAGCAGCCATCCTGACTGGCGTATAATGGTACCTCATTGTGGTTTTGATTTGCATTTCTCTGATAATGAGTGATGTTGAGCATCTTTTCATGTGTTTGTTAGCCATCTGTATGTCTTCCTTGGAGAAATGTCTGTTTAGTTCTTTGGCCCATTTTTTGATTGGGTCATTTATTTTTCTGGAGTTGAGCTGGAGGAGTTGCTTATATATTTTTGAGATTAATCCTTTGTCTGTTGCTTCATTTGCTATTATTTTCTCCCAATCTGAGGGCTGTCTTTTCACCTTGCTTATAGTTTCCTTTGTTGTGCAAAAGCTTTTAAGTTTCATTAGGTCCCATTTGTTTATTTTTGCTTTTATTTCTAAAATTCTTGGATGTGGGTCATAGAGGATCCTGCTGTGATTTATATCGGAGAGTGTTTTGCCTATGTTCTCCTCTAGGAGTTTTATAGTTTCTGGTCTTACATTTAGATCTTTAATCCATTTTGAGTTTTTATTTTTCAAGTGTTAGTTTAGATGGACTTCCCTGGCTCTAAGTCGACTCCTCCACCAGCAATGCCTGCTCCCACGTGCTCCTTGCTCATCACACCGTTTTTTTTTTTTTCATTTGTTTAAATCTTTCATTTGTTTTTCAATATCTATTTATTTGGCTGTATTGGATCTTAGTTGCAGCACATGACATCATCACACCGGCTCTTTAGTTGTGGTTTACAGGCTCCGGAGCATGCGTCATTAGTTGCTTCTTGAGGGCTTAATTGCTCTGTGGCATGTGGGATCCTTGTTCTCAGGGATCAAACCCGCATCCCCTGCATTGCATGACAGATTCTTAACCACTGGACCAGCAGGGAAGTCCCACAGCCTTTTATAATTGCTTCTCTTTTGTTTTTCCAGCCAGGCTCTCTGACAAGAGACTTGGCCTGTGATGTTACTCATTGCACCATCCCAGGCATGGGGCTTGGTACATGGGAGGCTCTTAGCAAACATTAGTTCAGTGAAAGAGTAAAATACGCCTGCAGCGGTGACAGCATCTCTGCACATTAAACACACACTGCTTAACAACTGTGTGTAACGGCTTCCTAGCTAGTAACCATTGCTAACACTTTTCTAATTTAATCCCCACAACAACCTACGTAAGTAGGTGCTATTACTGTCTTTATTTGAGAAGTAAGGAAGTTGAAGTTTGGGGAAGTTAAGCCACCTTCTCAAGGACATAGCTGATAAGTGTTGGAGCAGGATTCAAATCCAGGCAGTGTGGCAGCAGATCCCAAACCTAACAGGATTCCTCATCCTGCAGCCATTTTGAGTTGGGATTGTCTCTCCTGTTTAGCTCAAAATTAGCCAAATATCTGCCCTTAGCAAGTATGGCAAAGAACAACCCACGTCACCTTCAATAAATATTTATCATCGTCCCGCGTCAGAAGCTGCCACTCAAAGTGAAAACCAAAGCACAGGCAGGGGAACGGCCTCCTTCAGGTCACAACCATCATCACCACAGTTGACCATCTTATTGAATATATCCAATGTCCAGGCGCCACCGCAAACCCTTTCCACATCCCATCCCGCATAACAAGTAAGTTTTCGTTTAACAGATCTTGAATCTTTTGACTTCTATCGCATGTTTTTCTGGGTAAGCCAAACTTAAATCGTCAGAGATCCAATGCAATTTGGAGAAATAACTGCCCAACCCTCTCATTTTCAGATCTGGGAACTGGGACTCTGAAAGGTGAAGGGCCTTGCCCAAGGTCGAGCAGGTAGCGGTCCAACTAGGGCTGGAAGAGGCCTTTTGGATTCAGCTCCAGAGCTCTGGACTCGGCGCTGCACAACCAACCACATTTCCTCTACTCAAGGTACGTTAAGTGAAACGGCACCGCGTCTCTTATTAAACGCACTTGTTTAACGGACAGCAGTTACTGCTAGGTAGAGAGCAGTTACTGCAGCTCACGGCTCATCATCTATGATATGCTGTTCCGTACATCGTGCCCTGGAAGTCACACTTTCTCCGCATCCTTTTCCTGGCGTATCCCTCGGTTACGCAGGTGGCTTCGCAGCGCGCCGGGGCCTTTTGTGACTGGGTGATCAAGAGGAGCCCGGAGGGCCGCAGGCGGTTCGCGACAGCCAATCAGGGCTCAGAGACCCGGAGCTGCACCAATCAGAGGTAACCGGAGCCTGAGCCAGGGCGAATCGGGAGCTCGAGCCCGAGAACAGGGTGCGCGGCGGCCCGCGGTCAATCAGAGCGGAGGACAAGGCCCAATCGGCGGCCTTCGGACCTGGGTAGCGGGCGTGGTGAGGCGGGGCCTGTCCGCGCGGCCGCAAGGTGGGCTCCGCGAAGAGCGAGCGGGGTAAGGAGCGCGGACCGCCCGGGCCGGGGTGGGGCTGGGCGCGCGGCGGGGGCGTGGGGTCACGGGATGCGGCCGGAGTGACCCTAGGAGCTGCATGATGCCGCGGGGAGAGGCGAGGGGCCGAGTCCCGGGCTGGGGAGGTGGCCACTCTGGCCGGAGGGGTCGAGGAGGAGCCCTGTTGCCATGACGACGCAGGTGCGCGGACTGGCGACCCTTCAATCTCGGACTGTGCAGCCGGTGGACACCCGGCTCCAAGCGGCCTCCATCCTCCCAAGCGAAAATAACCCGCTTTGGCCAGCCGCCTCTGCGCCCCCACAGCCTGGCTCTCCGCCGCCCCCTCCCTCTCGCCGGCTGGTCGCGGGCAGAGGGATTAAGCTCGCCCTGCGGGGCTCTTGGTTAACAGCAGGCCTTTGCCGTTTGACCACCTGGACCAGCTGGGGTCCAACGCGGCCGCCTTGTTCCGGGGACTGGCATTAGAGATGCCGCCGCCTGAGGGACCTGGGGGATCCCCTAGAGGGATTTTTTTTTATTTTAAAGGCATCTAATATAGAACCTTGTGCATAACAAGGACTTAAGAGAATTGGGTCTGACCGAGTAAAGACCACAATGACAGCTCCATTCCGTGGATCAGAGCTGTCCAGTAGAAATAGGCAGCGACCCACATACTATGTAATGTTACATGTGCTACTAACCATATTAGAATGTTATAGCTTGTATATATCCAGTATATCTAAAGTATCAATATTAAATAAATCAATAAGTTAATATTAATAATTGATTTAATTAATTGATGTTAAATTATTGGTAAACAGCCTTGAATTTAAAAAATTTTTTCTTTTGTATTGGCTGTAGCTAGTTAACAGTGTTGTGACAGTTCCACATGTTTCCATTCTCCCCCAAACTCCCTTCCCAATCAGGCTGCCACATAACATTGAGCAGAGTTCCATGTACTGTACAGTAGGTCCTTCTTATCCGTTTTAAATATAGCAGTGTGTACATGTCCATCCCAAACTCCCTGTTCTTCCCCCTACCTGTTCCCGCCGGCAACCCTAAGTTTATTGTCTCAGTGAGTCAGTCTTTAAACACAATGCTTTTCCATAGAAAGCCTTCAAAATCTGCTGCATGTCTTCTATTCACATCTCAGTTTGGACCAGCCACATTTCAAATGCTCAATGGCCCCGTTTGGCCAATGGCTACCAAATAAGATGATGCAAACGTAACCATTTCTTATATGTGAGTTGCCACCACATACAGGGCACCTCCGTGTTCTTTGAAACCTTTTTGTATACAAGAAGACAGCGTTGTGCAAGGAGGCGGCAGAAACATGAGGCAAGCTCTCTTTTTCTCCAGGAGCTCCCAGTTCGCTTGAGAAAGTAGACACTCAAAAATTAAGTCGATTTTTACATGAATATGATTCAGACAGTATTAAAGATAACTGTACAGTATATAATTAACTGACAAATGAGATGGCTGTTAATTACCCTTGGGCATCCTAGGGAGGGACACTTCTGGCTCCTGCAGTGGTGGAAGATTGAGTCTAGTCTTAAAAGATGGGCAGGAAAGCTTGGGCTGCTGGACCAATGCGGAGGGGGCTTTGGTTGACTGCAACTGACCATACCTTCTCTTATTTTTTAGAGCTGAGCATTTGCAGAGGCTTTCAGACTGGAAAAGACTCTCCTCACTCACTGACGGCCTCCACCATGATTCACAGTCTTTTCTTGATCAACTCCTCTGGAGATATTTTCCTGGAGAAACACTGGAAGAGTGTGGTCAGCCGTTCTGTTTGCGATTACTTTTTCGAGGCACAAGAGCGAGCGACGGAGGCTGAAAATGTCCCTCCGGTTATCCCCACCCCGCACCACTATCTCTTAAGTGTTTACCGTCACAAGATCTTTTTCGTGGCTGTGATCCAGACAGAGGTGCCGCCTCTGTTTGTCATTGAGTTCCTCCACAGGGTAGTGGACACGTTTCAGGTGCGTGAATGTGAGGAGGTTCATCCATGGACCTTATAAAGTGTCTTTGTAGTTTTGTTTCCATAGTTTTCAGCCTCAGTTAAGGAGCTAAAAGGGCTTCCTTGATAGCTCAGTTGGTAAAGAATCTGCCTGTAACACAGGAGACCCCGGTTTGATTCCTGGGTCGGGAAGATCCCCTGGAGAAGGGATAGGCTACCCACTCCAGTATTCTTGGGCTTCCATTGTGGCTCAGCTGGTAAAGAATCCACCTGCAATGCAGGAGACCTGGGTTCGATCCCTGGGTCAGGAAGATCCCCTGGAGAAGGCAGAGGCTCCCCACTCCAGTATTCTTGGGCTTCCCTTGTGGCTCAGCTGGTAAAGAATCCACCTGCAATGCGGGAGACCTGGGTTTGATCGCTGGGTCGGGAAGATCCCCTGGAGAAGGGAGAGGCTCCCCACTCCAGTATTCTGGCCTGGAGAATTCCATGGACCATATAGTCCATGGGGTCGCAAAGAGTCGGACATGACTGAGCAACCTTCACTTTCACTTTAAGGAACTAAAAAAGAAATCACAACTCTGACATTGCTCACTTCCTCTCCCATCTTATAAGATTCTTGTTTCTGTTTATTGAATCGGTTGTATCTTGAATGACAGACTGTACAGTTTTGAACCTGTGGCCTGAGAAAGCCACTCTACTTAGTATGATTGTATGAAGTCATTTCAGTTCTAGAGACTGGAATTGTCCTACGTTTTGTTCACAAAGCTAAGGAGTTTCAATTTTTTTTTTTTAAGGCTTTTGTCAGGTTGGTTTATTTACCCCCCTTGGTTCTTGTATCATCATAACAAAGATTTGGAATGGCGGGTTAATTATAGCTCTAGCAGGCAGGATTTCTCACCTCTTGTCTTGTCATAGCAAGGATTCGAAACAACAGACTAGTTTCAGCTCAGTGACAGCTCAAGAAGACAGAACTTTTATTAAACCGACAGCAGAGATAGTCTGCTCCCGAGATGTGGGAACAGACCAACCCCAAAGGAGAGGCTCAATTTTTTTATTTTTATGGCAAACTTGATGTTAACCATTGTGAACAGCATTGCTTTGAGTTGCATCAAAAACTGATGCCTGTGGAAAGATATTTTTTAACTAGAAGAATCTAAATAATGCTTGTTTCATTCTCGCTGGCAGGGGTAATTTGGGAACCCACCCTTCAGCTTGAGTTTGTGCTCATCCACAGCATATGAGTACCAAAGATGGGCCTCGTCGCAAGCTTAGCACTTCTGTAAAATTTAAGGGATATATTTTCCAAGACGCAGTTTTCCCTTGGAGAGTTTTTCCTTCAGGAATAGATTTGGAGATCTTGGGGGCACTGGGGGGCTGGTCGTGCCAGGATGTCAGCACCTGTTACAGGACAGGATTTCAGGCAGCCTAGACTCTGGATTCAGACAGTGGCATCCTCTCCCTAAAAGAATTGCTCAACCTCTCATGGTTGTGGTTATTTGCATAACTCAATGATACATGAGAATCAAGGGTCCTCTGGTTTAACTTTCGTGTCATGTGAAGTCCAGAATTAGTCACATGAATACAGACATTGTGGGATTGGAGAGGAGAAGGAGAATCCAGACCTTCTGACAAACATTAAAAAGCAAATCAAAGAGTCCTTTCATTTGCACTTATAAATATGTGATCACATGTTTGGAACAGCTTTCATCCAAAGAATGAGCATATATTTAATTCCCGCCCCCGTGGTAGTATTCTTCTGGGATTCCAGTAGCATATTGGTTCCTTCACACGGTGAGAACCTGAGAATTATAAACCCCAGTACGTAGAAGAAGCAGACAAGCCCAGCAGTTATGATCTTCAGCTGCTCAAGCTGGGCCTTGTTAGGATTTCCACACAGGATATTTCACCCCGTTAACCGTCGCTCCATATCTCTATAGAGATGTTATGTAACTTGTTGCAAGAGAGGAAGTGAAGAAAGTTGTTTAATCTACTTGGAACCACAGAGGAATCGGGGTAAACAGTGAAGTGGCTGCTTTAGAAGTCCCAGCTTGCCAGTTGGGACTTCACAGCTTGCCAGTTTGGAAGGATTTGTTAGAAGTCCTTAACTGGACGCAACCTGATTTGAATGTCTTATGTGATGTGTGTTCTCTGGCTTCTGTTCTTTCTCTGGCGCTGGGCTGTGACCGAGGAGCCCCCGCCGTGGAAGTGCACACGTGTTGCTGTAGCACTGTCCCCTTCCAGCTGCTGATTGATGAAATCACATTCTCCCTGATTTAGAAGATCAAGGGAGGTGTTTTTAAAAATTTATTTTACTGATGTATAGTTGATTTGCAGCGTGTTAATTTCTGCTGTATAGCAAAGTGAATTCAGTTTTATATATATATGTGTGTGTGTGTGTGTGTGTGTGTGTATATATATGCACATTTTTTCATAGTTTTCCACTATGGTTTATCACAAGATATTGAATATATTAATAGTTCCCTGGGCTATACAGTAGGACCATGTTATTTATCCATTCTCCATGTAGTAGTTTGTATCTGCTGATCCCAACCCCCCAATCCACCTCTCTCACAGCTCACCTCCCCTCTAGTCTTTCTCTATGTCTGTGAATCTGTTTTTGTTTTGTAGATAAGTTCATTTGTGTTGTATTTAAGATTCCACATATAAGTGATGGTTTAGTCACCAATAAGTTGTGTCCGACTCTTGCAGCCCCATGGACTGTAACCTACCAGGCTCCTCTGTCCATGGGATTCTCCAGGCAAGAACACTGGGGTGGGTTGCCATTTCCTTCTCCAGAATAAGTGATATCATGTGATATTTGTCTTTCTCTGTCTGACTTATTTCACTTAGTATGATAGGGTCTAGGTCTACCCATGTGGCTGCAAATGGCCTTATTCTGTTCTTTTTTTTATGGCTCAGTGGTATTCCATTGTATAGATGTACCACATCTTTATCCAGTCACCTGTTGATGGATACTTAGGTTGCTTCCATGTGGCGACCATTGTGAATAGTGCTGCTATAAACATAGGGGTGCATGTGTCTTTTTTGAATTACAGTTCTGTTTGGGTATATGCCCAGGAATGGGATTGCTGGATCATATGGTAGTTCTATTTTTACTTTTTAAGGTACTGCCATTCTGTTCTCTGTAGTGGCTGTACCACTTTTACATTCTCACTGACAATGTTAGAGGATTCCATTTTCTCAAGTGAGGAGTTTTATTTTTCAAAATGAAATCACTCATGAGAAGGACATGTGTAGCTTTTTTCCCCCCCCTTCAATCTTCATTTTTTAAAGAAAAAAATATGTTTGTTGTAGAAACACATTGCTGACTCCTAAGTGCTCTTGGATATTGGAATGTGTCTGATAGTTGACATCATTCTGATGTAATTTAGGTCACCTCTGGAGTCTGTGTTCAGTTTTGGATGTCATCATTTGAGGAGACTATTAGAAAATTAGGACAAATTCAAAGAAATGGCAAGAAAGTGAAACAATCTAGAAATCTTATGGTAGCATGAATAGGAGCAGGACCAAACAGGGACTCTGGCCCTGAGAAGAAAAACTGAAGGCAAATGTTTTCCTGGCCCTCTGATCACTGAGGGGCTGTTATGTAAACTTGTTCTGTAAGGCACATCTAGGAAGCAGGTTTCAGTTTAGCCAAAGAAAGGACTTTCTAAGGATCAGCACTGCCCATGAATAGAATGGACATTCTTAAAAAGGGTGCATTTCCCATCAGAGGATGAATTCTTAGAGGACTGTCTGACCGTCTGAGAGGCCCAGCAGCAGAAGCACTGACCTTGTCAAGAAGGGCACGCCGAGTGCCTATAGGCCTTCCTCTCTGCATCATTTCATCAGGTGCACCACAGTTTATATGGTGCTTGATAGTTTACAAAACACTTTCACACATGTTCTCATTTAATCCATCATGCTTCGTTGTTACAACCCTGTGCGTCCACGCATGGTATTATCCAGATTATACTACTAGAGATCTCAAGTCCTAATTAGTTAGCATGAATTAATCTAGTAGGTGACAATTAAGACTATTACCCAGGCCTTCTGATTTGGAATTCAGTGCTTTTCCCACAACCCAGACAATTTAGTGTCTAAGTTTAGCCTTTCTTAATAAAGGGACAAAGTGTTATTAGAATCCTAGCATCTTAGAAAAAGGGTGATCCAAAGAGATTTTCTGGTGTGCTAGCTCACACCCCTCATTTCATTTCTCTCCCAGTTCTTATTTGCTCCATGAATGTTGAGCACAACATTAAGAGTTAATAGCACAACAGTAAGAGTTAAAAAAATTTTGGGGTCCAGTGAACACTGTATCAGGTATTATCATTTCACATGGTTCTTTCAAATTCATGTTCAAAACCACGTAATAGTCTAGACTCAGTTTTGTATTCTTCATATTAGTTAAAGAAACTAACCCAAAGGGATTAAATGACTCACTTTAGTATATGAAAGAAGTTATTAGTGATACTTGCGTTATAATCCAGTCTAGTTTTCTTTCCACCAAACTGGGCTGCCTAAGAGAACCAGGGTTATGCTTCATCCCCTTATTGTGGAAGAAGGTCCCAGAAATGCTGCGTAAACACACGTGGACAGGACTCGATAATCTCTGGGTGCGTTCCTTCACCCATCGCAGTCTCTGAGTGATAAATGTATACATGTACTGTGTTTGCATCAGGATTATTTTGGAGTCTGTTCAGAACCAGTGATAAAAGACAACGTGGTCGTGGTTTATGAGGTGCTGGAAGAGATGCTCGACAATGGCTTTCCATTGGCTACCGAGTCGAACATCCTCAAAGAACTGATAAAGCCACCCACTATCCTTCGGACCGTTGTCAACACCATCACAGGTACGAGAGGGGCCCCACGGGAGATGGCTGCCATCCTGGGTGTGGCTTAGTCCTGGGTTGTGCCTTGTTTCGAGTGCTTATTTTGGGGGATCTCAAATGTCTAGGTGCTTTTCATTTTGTTCTTTGTAGTCTTTAGTATAACCTGAAATAAAATTTGTGTGTGTGTGTAGAAAATATTCTGATTTTAATGACAGAATAAACTCTTCTCCTTTTAAAAGGAATTTCCCCTGGGCTCCCCTTATGGTCCAGTGGTTTAAAATGTGCCTTGCAATGCAAGGGACACCGGTTAGACCCCTGGGCTGGGAAGATTCCACGTGCCCCAGAACAACTAAGACCATGCCCCAGAACTGCTGAGCCTGCGTGCCCTAGAGCCTGTGCTCTGCAACAAGAAGCCATTGCAATGAGAAGCCCATGCACTGCAGGGAAGACCCAGCACAGCCAAAAAATAAAATAACCGAATCTTTAATAATAATAATATTGTTTCTTCCTGATTACAGAAGAAGCACATGATTATTGTAGAAGGTCAGAAATACAGAAAAGCACAAAGAACAAGAAATAAGCTCATAAGCACTTTTAACATACAGTGTATATATATTTTTTTATCTTCTTTGGTGAGATGGATAATGTATGGACAGGTGGAATTTTTTAAAATGAGTTAGAATGCTGTTTTTACCCATGAAATTTTTATATTAATATGTAGATTACTGTCCCTACTGAAAGCCAATGCATTATTTAAGCTGCAAGCTATTGGGCAATTTGAGAGACCAAGTTCAGGTTACTTTCAAAACCAAAATGATATGATATCTGTTTCTTGGGTAACTTTTTAACCTGTATTCTGCCTGAGCAGACACACCAACTGGGGACAGGTTTTTTAAATGGACTAGGTTACCAAGATAGAAGTTGGTAAAACTATAATCTCTATTTTGGAAAAATTCTTCAAGCAAGCATGTAAATAGTGGATGAGTAGAAACTTTTAGGGATATGTTCTCTGGTTATTAGGTAATTGGTTACATCTAATTACAACATTCATTGTCTCAGGAAGCACCAACGTGGGCGACCAGCTGCCCACTGGGCAGCTGTCCGTGGTACCTTGGCGACGAACGGGGGTGAAATACACCAACAATGAGGCCTATTTTGATGTGATTGAAGAGATTGATGCCATCATTGACAAATCAGGTTGGTGCTTTCAGCCAGTTTAGAGAACTGTGAAAATAGAGGCCCCTTTCAGACAGTGCTCACTAGTTATCAGAATTATCCCCCATTTAAGGTCATTCGTTTAACTTAGTGTCTGCTTTGTCAAGCATTGTGTATTAGGACTGGACTGAAATATCATGATGTAGATGATGTGATCATACATGTAGAAACTCTAAAGACTCCAGCCTAACACTGTGAAAACTAATAAATGTAATACAGTTGCAGGATACAAAATCAACATATAAAAATCAGTGATGTTTCTATACACAGACAATGAACTATCCGAAAAGGGAACTGAGAAAACAATCCTGTTTACAATAGCAACAAAAGGAATAAAATACTTAGGAATAAACTTAACCAAAGATACTTATACCCTGAAAATTACAAAGCGTTGATGGAGGAAATTAAGAACAGATAAATGGAAAGATGATATATTTTCATGGATTGGGAGAATTAGTATTGTTAAAATGTTTGAAATATGCAAAGACATCCCCATCAAAATCCCAAATGCTGTCCACACCAGTATCTCAATGGTATTCTTTATAGAAATAGAAAAAAACAAAACTCATGGAACCACAAAGACCTCAAATAGCCAAAGCGGTCTTGAGCAAGAACAGAGCTGGAGATGTCACAATTCTAGATTTCAAAATATATTATAACATTTGGTAATCAGAACTGTAAGGTGGACTTCCCTAGTGGTCCAGCAGTTAAGAATCCACCTGCCAATGCAGGGGACATGGGTTCGATCCTTAGTCCCGGAAGGTCCCACCTGCTGAGGGGCAACTAAGCCTTCAGGCCACAACTGCTGAGCCCATGTGCCGCAACTACTGAAGCCTGCACGCCTGGAGCCTGCGCTCCGCAAGAGAAGCTGCTGTGATGAGAAGCGCATGCATCATGACTGGAGAGTAGCCCCTGCTCGCCACAGCTGGAGACAAGTCTGCATGCGGCAGTGAAGGCCCAGTGCAGCCAAAGCTAACAAACAAATATGAAAAACAACTGTATGGGGAGGTCATAAAAACAGACATATACACCAGTGAAGCAGAATAGAAGGCTCCGCAATAAATCTGTCAACGGGCCTTCAACAGGCGTGCCAAGAGCACGCGATGGGGAAAGGCTAGTCTCTGCAGGGGCTGGTGTTGGGAAAACTGGATGTTCACATGTAGAAGAATAAAATCACCCTTAATCTCACGCCACACACAAAAGTCAACTCACAGCATGTAAGACCTGGAACCATAAACCTGCTAGTAGAAAACATAGGAACAGACCTTCTTGACGCTGGTCTGGGCAGTAGTTTTTTTTTTTTTTTTTCAAGATATGGTCCCAAAAGCAAAGGCTTCAAAAGGAAAAATAGACCAATAGGATTGTATCAAAATAAAATCCTCCATACAAGAAAGGAACCAGTCAGAGGAAAAAGACAGCTTACAGATGAGAGGAAATATACGCAAACCATATGTCAGATAAGAGGTTAATATCCAAAATACACGAGGAACTTACACAATTCAATAGCGCAAAAAAAAACCCATAATCTGACAAAAAAAGTGGGCAAAGGATCTGAAAGCGGCACTAGTGGTAAAGAACCCGGCTGCCAATGCAGGAGACTTAAGAGACGTGGGTTCGATCCCTGGGTCAGGAAGATCCCCTGGAGAAGGACGTGGCAACCCACTCCAGTGTTCTTGCCTGGAGAATCCCATGGACAGAGGAGCCTGGCGGGCTACAGTCCATGGGGTCGCAAAGAGTCAGAGACGACTGAAGCAACTTAGCACGCAAAGGATCCGAAGAGACATACTTCAGAAAAGCCGTACGAATGGCCAGCAAGTAAATGAAAAGGTGCTCAGTGTCAGGAGTCATCGGGGAAAAGCAAGTCAGAACCACAGGGAGGTATCACTCACACTTCATATCAAAAAGACAAAAGACACAGCAAGTGTCGGCAATGATGTGGAGAAAGGGGAACCCTATGCACTTGCTGGGAGAAATGTAAATTGGTGCAGCCACTGTGGAAGCTGTAAGGTAAGGGAGGTAGAGAAGGCGAGGTTCAGAAAAAGAACAAGACCAGCACTTTACAGGAACAGATCACCTTTAATGAGGTGAGAAGGGGCAGCAGTCAGATTAGCAATCTGTCGTGCTTATCCAAGAAAAGAGTAAGTATATATAGGCATGTATGTGGAAAGTTACTGTCTTAAGGGGGCCTGTTCTTCTCCAAGGTTGTTCAGAGTAGTTATGTCTTAAACGACTGGGGCAAGGAATTTTGGAGATCAGCCAGAGGCTGGACCAGCTGGGAGCTGGGCGTAAGGTCCATTTTTTCCTTTGGGTGAGAATTCTGTTATTTTGCGAGTTCTATTCTTTTGCATAGAATGCTGGGGAGGACCTGGAGGGGAGTTTTAACCCCAGGCTATTTTGAGCCATGTAACTTTCCTTCAGAAAGAGTATGGAGGTGCCTGAAAAAACTGAAACTCCCTAATAATCCAGCAGTCCCACTCCTGGGTCTAGATCCAAAGGAAATGAAATTAGTATCTCGGAGAGATGTCTGCACCCCCCGTGTTCACAGCGCATTGCTGGCAGCAGCCAAGACACAGAAACAAAGTGTCTGTTGATGGCTGATGGATGAAGATGTGAGGCAGATACCCTCACACACAGGAATACCACTCGGCCATGTGAAGAAGTAAATCCTGCCATCTGTGAAAACGCAGGTGAACCTGGGGGATGTGATGCTGGGAGAAGGAAGCTGAATGCAGGAAGACAAACGTGGTGTGATCTCACGTAGAAAAACCTGCGGACCAGTGGCCGGGCTTACTTTATATGTGGAATCTGCAACAGTCAGGTCCATAGAAGCAGACAGTAGAAGGTGGTTAGACCTGGGTTCAATCCCTGGGTTGGGAAGATCCCCTGGAGAAGGGAAAGGCTACCCACTCCAGTATTCTGGCCTGGAGAACTCCATGGACAGAGGAGCCTGGTGGGCTACAGTCCGTGGGGTCGCAGAGCCGGACATGAGTGAGCAACTTCCACTTCACCAGGAGTGGGGAGGATGGGAATGGGGAGAGGTGGGTGAAAGGTGCCAAGCTTCAGTTCTGCATGATGAAGAAGTTCTGGAGATTTAGCGCACAGCATGGTGACTACCGCCATGTACTTTCTTTTCCATGTTATTGAGTGTAACTGACAAAATTGTAAGGCATTCAGAATGTTCATTATGCTATTTGATCTACACATACATTGTGAAAAGATTACCACCCCCCCCAGCTAGTTAAATTATCACATCTGTCACCTCACAAGTATATTGTCTACTTGAAATTTACTAAAAGGGAAAGTTTTAAGGGCTGTCACCACAAAAACCCAATGAACTGTGTGAGGTGATGGACGTGTTAGCTTCATCATGGTGACCACTTCACAGGGTGTATGTGTATTAACACATCAAGTCATTCACCTTAACTGTGTACAGTTTTTATTTGTTGACTGTACCTCAACAACCCTGAAAAAAAGCCATAGAAAAGCATGATGCAGACCCGTGCTGGGCTCACATTTTCAGTGGTTTTACCCTCTCAAGTGAAAAAGTAACAAACTGATCTCTTGTTGATGAGATTTCATTTTGGAAGTATTTGACTCTCAGTTGTCGGGGCAGAACTGAAGTTTAATCACTAAAATTCAGAGAGTCGTCTTCTTTTCTGTCCATTCAGAGAGGTTAACCCAACTACAAGTCCTTAGAGTGTGGAAATTTTCAGAAAGTTCTCTTCACATGAGCAAACTCATTTATCCAGCAAGTGCTTACGGAGAATCCATGATGCTGTAGCTGAGCACCAGGTGGTGGGCATGTGATGGTGACTAAGACGGAACCTGTGGCTGCAGGAAGCTTCTGAAAGTCTAGTGAGGGGGCGAGAAAGGGAAAAAGAGAGGTCCCCTCCCACCCTTACCTAAGTATAAAGCTCACGAATGCTTCATCAGTAGATTGAGTAGGAGTTAGTACAGGCTGCACGGATCTGGGAGCAAAGCAGGTGCAAACACTTTTAAGAAGAGTGAAATATTGTTGGGAAGTTAAGTATCTCAGGATAACTGGATTGAGACACATAAAGAAAGAAAAGGAACTGATGAGGCTTTAAAACCAAGTAGGCACAACAGCTTTTCATATTATCCTCTAACTGGAAAGGCCCCCAAATGTCCATCAGTAATAGAAAAGATGAACAAATTTCAGTGTGATCATACCAGGAGAAGGAGAGCAAGAAAACCAGAAAACAGGAGGGGTTAGGAGAAAGGAACACTTAAAGAAAGAAGTGGTTGCAGGGGCTGCAGTAGAGAGAGCCTGTGAACTGAAGACCAAAGTGTCAGTTCCATTTGGCATCAGAGCTCCTTGGGGGCCTGTGAAGTGAATATACTGTCCATGGAATTCTCCAGGCCAGAATACCAGAGTGGGTAGCCTTTCCCTTCTCCAGGGGATCTTCCCAACCCAGGGATCGAACCCAGACCTCCTGCATTGCAGGCGGATTCCTTACCAGCTAAGCCACAAGGGAAGCCCTTGGTGGCTGCAGGGAGAGCAGTTTCTGATGTGAATGCAGTGTTCTGACCCATTGGTCAGGATAGCAGTGTTGTGTTTGATTCTGGCACTAGACTGAAAGCTCCTCCAGGCTAACAGTCTCACCAGTCTTTATCCCCGCTGCTTCATCAGAGTGCCTTGTATTTGCTGCGCAGTGGATAAAGGTTTGCGAGGACAGATGGATTGGGTAGATGATTCCGATGGATGGATGGACAGAAGAAAGGAAGGAAGAATGGGGGAGGGGGAGGAAGGAAGGAAGGAAATGGGATGGGAGGGGAAGAGAGAGCTAAGGAGGGAGGGAGAAGTTAAGTTAGTTGGGAAGGACACAGAGGGTCTCACTTTCTTCCTGTCTCATCCCGTCTCAGGGTCTACCATCACTGCCGAGATCCAGGGGGTGATCGACGCCTGCGTCAAGCTGACCGGAATGCCCGACCTGACGCTTTCCTTCATGGTAAAATCCTGGGCCGGAGATCTAGTCCCTGGGAAATTAGATGCTTCTGGAAAGACAGAGCAGCAGGAGAGGAGGGAACCGGAAGGGATGGTCAGGGCCAGCCGCAAAGCTCACGGGCGGCCTTGGATTGCCCTGAGTAACAGCAGAATGTGTGCATGTGTTTTCGTGAAAGCAGCGCCTAAGTTACTTTCCTGAGAGACGCGTGGTTCTAATTCCCACCTGTGGCTGTTGCTTGGTGTCGCCCAGAACCCCAGGCTGCTGGACGACGTCAGCTTCCACCCCTGCGTCCGCTTCAAGCGCTGGGAGTCGGAGCGCATCCTCTCCTTCATCCCCCCCGACGGCAACTTCCGCCTGCTCTCCTACCACGTCAGCGCGCAGAAGTAAGCGGCTCACGTACCTGAGGGTGGAGTGCGTGCGTGCGTGCGTGCGTGCGTGCGTGCGTGCGTGCGTGGTTTGGAAACAGTATCCACAGCGATAGAGATCTCAGGCTCTGGAGTTACCTGGGCTCCAGGTAACTAATCAGGTAACGTCAGGTGAGTTGTTTTTCCTTTCCATGTCTGTTCCCTTATCTAGGAAAGCTGACGTAATGAAAGTAACACGTAATGAAGTAAGGGGCTTCCCTGGTGGCTCAATGGGAAAGAATCCACCTGCCAATGCAGGAGACGCAGGTTCAATCCCTGGGTCCGGAAGACCCCCTGGAGAAGGAAATGGCCACCCACTCCAGCATTCTTGCCAGGGAAATCCCATGGACGGAGAAGCCTGGCGGGCTACAGCCCACGGGGTCACAAAAGAGTCGGACACGACTGAGCGACTAAACATCAACAGTAAAGTAATAAGTAACTTGAAAATAGTAAAGGTGCCTTGTTATGAGGGTTACATAAGAAACTCTAAATAGTGGCTTCCGCACAAAATAAGTGCTCATTACGTTTGCTGCTGTTTGTTTTGTTATTACTGTGTGCCTAAACAGGAATGTTTTTTTCCTCAGATTGGAATCTGAGAACACCCGTATTTCAATCCCTTTCACTCGCCCAAAAAGCAGTGAATGGTACTGTGAAGAACCATACGATTCAGTCATTTGGGGTCGTGAGCATTCTCTTTACTGTGGACTCTTGAGTCCTTTTGGGGGAAGGCGTAGAGTAGATGTGTAGACTGAAGAGAGCTTTGGACCTCTCAGCCACTGAGGCCTTCCTGTGGGATTCGGAATAAATAACTTGGGGAAACGTCTGAGTGCTTGAGAGCAAAGGCTCTGGAATCAGACTGCCCGTACTTAAGCCCCACCTGCAGTACTGATGATACATGACCTTGGCAAGTTACTGAATAGTTAACCTTGGTTAAGTATAAGGACATCAGTATTAATGACATCAGGACAGAAGCAATGCCTGCCTCATACTCACAGTGAGGATTAAGTGAGTCATCGAGGGAAAACCTGTAGGGTCGTGCTGGCCCCAGGAAGTAGTACTCCACAGACGCCAAGGATGGTTGCAAGTTTAGTATCACCCTGTAGTTTCTCTGTTCTGACAGAGATGCCGACCCCATCCCTTAGGGGTTTTTGTAAGGATCAAGTCAAGTTAAAAGCACTGTCATGAATTTGTAAAAGCCCCATGAGGTATGAATGTTAGTCTCCCAAGTGCAAATAATTATCAGTCACATGCAAAACGTTAAAACAGGGAAATGTGATTTCTGTTTGCCGTGCCTTTTTCTCAGAGTCTTTGGTTTTGTTGATATCATTCTAAGAGTCATTAGAAGGGTTAGTTGACTTACTAGTCAACATCTTAGATTTACAGAAAGAAAACGATCCAAGACGTCCAGAGGGTTTTTCTCTGCATACTCTGTAAGACTAGGAAGGAGGTGAGGGAGGAAAAGCTGCTGGCAGAACAGGAAAGTGAAAAGTGGCCGTCTTTCCAATATGTTGACGATGTGGGCTTTTTGTCTCCTCTCTTTTCCAGCCTGGTGGCGATTCCAGTGTACGTTAAACATAACATCAGCTTCCGGGACAGTAGCTCACTCGGCCGCTTTGAAATAACCGTGGGGCCTAAGCAGACCATGGGGAAGACCATAGAGGGGGTGACCGTCGCCAGCCAGATGCCCAGAGGCGTCCTGAACATGAGCCTCACGCCGTCTCAGGGCACACACACGTTTGACCCAGTCACCAAGGTAGGAGAATACACAGGGGGCTCAAGTTGCCCATGTTCAAAACAGCAGGAGCTCTGCAGTACCCCTTTCTGGCTTGTGGAAAGGCGAGCTTGACCAAAGGGACGTGGTTGAGGGCACCGAGATAATTCACAGTAACAAGTAGCATTCTCTTCTGGGAAACCCCCAGGAGGTCATAAGAACACAGTGAACCAGGTCTCTGAGCTCAGGCGTCTCAGATGCAGTTTCCACCATAACTTCCTTCTTTTTTCTCTCTTTGGAGATGCTATCTTGGGATGTAGGAAAAATAAATCCCCAGAAGCTCCCAAGTTTGAAGGGAACCATGAGTCTCCAGGCCGGAGCTTCCAAACCGGATGAGAACCCCACGATCAACCTGCAGTTTAAGATCCAGCAGCTGGCCATTTCTGGTGAGTGACGCCCAGCTCAGGGATGGGGAGGCGGGGGCCCAAGGCGGCGATGTCACAAAGCCCCCTGGCCGCTCCCTGTCCAGAGAGTTGGGTTTCATTAGCTAATATGTGATCTTTAGTCAGGTCTTTCCCAGCACGTTCCTGGAGGAAGTCTGTGACCCTCCATCAGTATTGGAGATGGAAGTGCTTATGAGCCGTTGAGTCACCCTGGGGGCGCTGGTTGGGGGGGGTCCCAGGGTCTTCAGTACGGGGATGTATCTGCATTCTCAGCTGATGAGTGAAAAGAATTCCCCTCCTTTCCGCAAATTTCAGAAGATTTCACGTGTGCTGTGATCATTTGGAATGCTCGGCTGACCTGAGTTACCAACTATAGTTTACACCCCACTACCCAGGGTGATATCAAGACTTAAGTTACCTCTCTGCAGGTGTCTACTACGTGCCAGGCACTAGTTTAAGCTCTTTTCATCTATTTTCTTATTTAATTCTTAGACTGACCCTTGCAGATGGTTAGGAGATGACTTCAGCTTTATATGAAGTTCTTGTTTTCTTTACCAATGGACCATGTCTAGTTTAAGTGATTAGAATTCATTTAAAGGATAAGCTCTTTTCATCTTAAAATGCTTAATAAACTTTAAAGCTCTGAGTAGTATAAAATGTTCTTTTCTTAGTCCAGTGAGACTATTTAAAAGGCACTGAAGAATTAATTCATCACTTTTCATCGTTAGTTTATTCATTCAGTTATACCTTTATTTGATTATGAATTTGTGTGTGTGTGTGTGTGTAATAAAGTTTTATTAAAATATAAAGGGGATAGAGAAAGCTTCTGACATAGGCATCAGAAGCGGGCAAAAGAGTACCCCCTTTGCTAGTGTTAGCAATGGAGTTATATACTCTCCAATGAATCCAAAGAATGTCTGGAGGTTGTAAAGACCTCATCAGACCTACTCCCATAATTTACATTTTAAGATAACAGAGTTGGCCAGAAGGTTTAATCCAAAGATTGTCCTCAGGCAGGATACATCCTTGTAAAGACCAGACCTACTCCCATAATTTATGTTTTAAAATAACAGAATTAGCCAGAGGGTTTAATCCAAAGACTGTCCTCAGGCAGGATACATTATTGTTATATAATCCTAAGGAATGTAGAGGAAAAAAAGTAAAAAAGTTTGTCCTTTCTTCCTCCTTGAATATCCCAGACCTCTCTCTCCTTGGGGACCCCTAGACTTCTTATCAACCTGCCTAGGAAATGACTCTCATTCCCCCCTTTTCTTTTAGGAGAATTATGTTGCCTAGGGAAAAGGGGCGTCGTCCTCATTCCATAACTGCTTCCGAGCTGACAAGGGGCGTTGTCCCTAAATTGGTGAGGCACCATATTCTCCTAATCCTCATTCTGAGGATGTCTGATCCAGGGGCTCCAAGTAATAGTTGGAGGAGGCTGTGGCACTCATAGGAGCTCGGGCAACTATTTGTAAATTAAAAGCTTTTAGACGGTTAGAAAACCCCATTATACAGTGACAGATGTAAGGCAAAATAGTCATTAAACCAAGTTAAAATCAAAATGAAAAGTCACATTATGGCCATAGTTACATCAGTCCATCTTAAGGTTGTTAGATGTCATCAGTTTAAGAAGAGGCATCACATGCGATTGTTGAAGGTATTTGCAGACTTGGAGAAAGTCCTTTCCTTGAAGTGGAGATGTCCACCATGGGACGCCTTTCACTGATGAAGAGGGGAGTGCTCCGCAGACCCAGCAGTTAGACCGATTGTGGAATGCAGCACAGGAGTGAGCCCAGGACAGGAAGGCATTGTCTTGAGGATCAAACAGCAGACTCAGGATTTCTGGAGTCAGCAGAAGTAGGCTCGCATAGATTATCAGACCCGTCTGAAACATATTTTGCTTCTAAAACCTGTTCAGCAGTCTCCACAGGATAACGCTTTCCATCCCGAACAAAAGAACTGCCATCTACAAATATTTCCATGTCGGGATTGCCTAATGGGGTATCCATTAGATCCTCCCGAGCTGCATAGTTTAAAGTTAGGAATTGGGAACAATCGTGATCAGGTGTTTCATTTTCCTTCTCAGGAAGGAAAGTAGCAGGATTTAAATTTCCACAAACTTTAAGCTTAGTTACTGGTGATTCTAACAACAGTGACTGATATTTAAGAAGCCTACTGTCTGTCATCCAAATATTAACCTTAGAATTCAAGATTCCACTCACATCATGAGAAGTCAGTACAGTAAGGTTTCGTCCATTAATTATTTTTAAAGCTTCAGGTGCTAATAAAGCCGTGGCTCCAATTACTCTTAGGCAGTGGGGCCACCCACGTGCAATTACATCTAATTCTTTGCTTAGATAAGCAATAGGTTGCTGGTGAGGCCCTCGGGGTTGTGTCAAAACTCCCAAGGCCGTACCTTTCCTTTCAGTGACAAACAAGTTAAATTCTGACCCTGTGGGCAAACTCAAAGCCGGAGCTTGCAGGAGAGCAGTCTGAAGAACCTTAAAAGCCTTTTGAGTATCTGGAGACCAAACCAGTTTGTCAGTTTGGGCCTGCTGAGTTTCAGCTATAAGTTTATATAAAGGCCGGGCAAGTTCCCCATAGCCCAGACAGTAGCCTGTGATTCCCAAAAATCCCCTCAATTGTCTTAAAGTCTTAGATAGGGGATGGTTTAGGATAGGTTTAATTCTCTCAGGGCCTATGGCCCTAGTCCCTTCTGATATGATTAGGCCCAGATATCTAACAGATTGTTGACAAAGCTGAGCCTTTTCTCCTGATGCCTTGTAACCACAGCCTGTCAGAAAGTTTAAGAAATCTTCTGAGGCTCGTGAACAAGCTTCCTCTGTCTCAGCACAGAGCAAAATATCATCTACTATGAATTTCTTAATTTTGTTATTATGAATTTACATGTTCAACTCCATAACTTTGAGAAAAATCTGGAGTGGTCTTATTTTTCCTTACCTTCATCTCAGCCTGCATATAACTTTCTGCCCTTTCTACCACAGGGACAGATCTTTTCATTGGCCAGCTTTTTATTGGAGCAGGTTTTTATTTTCAGCCTATGTTCCAGGGGTGAAGAATCTGTCGGCTGTGTTTATGTGACATAATTAAGTGTAGGTTCCCAGGTGGAGGAGTGGTAAAGAATCAGCATGCAATACAGGAGATGCAGGAGACTCGGGTTCGATCCCTGGGTTGGAAAGATCTCTTGGAGAAGGAAATGGAAACCCACTCCAGTATTCTTGCCTGGAGAATCCCATGGACAGAGGAGCCTGGTGGGCTATGGTCCAAAGGATCCATAGCATCCCAAAGAGTTGGACACAACTGAGTGACTGAACACACACACATTTTCTGGTTCACAGTTACAACTTTCTCCAGCCCTCGGAGCTCTTTGAGTTGACGTGAATTAACCAGTTATGCAACCTGCTTCTTTGGAATAATGCTCACCTTCCTTCTTTGCAGGCCTCAAAGTGAATCGTCTGGATATGTATGGAGAGAAGTACAAACCCTTCAAGGGCATAAAGTACATGACCAAAGCTGGAAAGTTTCAAGTTCGAACCTGAAGCGAGAATTTTGCAAAGCGGACCGTCACGAACACTTTTTCATTTCTTAACCTGTCTAGAAGTAAAAACCATCAGCCTATCTCGTAGGTCCATGTCCACTCTGGACCCACCGGTTCCCGTTTTCCTTAGCCGTCCGTGCTGTGGAGCGAATCCAGGGAGACAGGGTCGCCGGGGGGCCGGGGCAGGACCCACCCACCAGCATCTCCAACCCAGTTCTCAGAGCAGAGGCGTGGGTCGCAGGGGGAGGTACCTGATGGCGTGTTGAACTGTTTGTAACTTTGTAATGGGGTTACCCCAGGAAAACACCAGCGTTTGTTACTTGTTTGGCTGTAATTTTCTTCAGCCAAGGGAAGACTTCTTTGTTTTTGTTTTCTAAGCTGGGGGAAAAAAGAATTAGAGCGCACACTTGGAAGGAAATGAATGTTAGTGGAGGAAGGCATGGGGGAGGCATGGAGTGTGTGCACCCCCATTAAAGTGAAGAGAGAGGGGCACCCATCTCCACCCCAGGAGGGGCTGGGAGGAACGGAGTGGAGTGAGTTTCCTTCTGAGCCCTCTGTTTGTATACAAGCATAAAGATCTGTACTTCTAGAAGTGAACTGGAAGCTTCTTTAATTGGAGCCCACTGCTGACACGGAAGTCCCAGCGGAGGGAGACTTTTCCCTCAGAGGCTGGGACGCCTGCCCGCTGCACCGGCCGCCCTCTCCGGTGAAAGGGGTCCCTGCCCACTCCCTGGGGTGGGGGGGTGGTCTCAAATACCTCTTTCCTTGACCTCCTGCAAACAGCTCCACTCCTTCACAGAACTGCCGCTCCCTGAGGAGAGTCTCAGAGAAGCCAGCCCCGTTGGCCCCAGGGCAGCCCCACGAGCCGCCCGCAAGGCCCAGCGGCTCCTTGTCCACGTCCATTCGGGGGCTCCCTGGGGGCTGGAGCCTGACCCTCCCATCGACACGCTTTCCCGCGGTCACTGTCAGCCAGACGCTGACCGGAGCGGCCAGTCCTGGGGGCCGACCAGTAAGGACATTTACTCAGTCTCTTCTGTTCTGTACCCCCACTGCATAATCTATTAGCAATGTATATTTAGCAATATATATCGCCATGTTTGTTTTTAAGACCCCCCACCCCAGATCCCTTCAGTCACTGAATAAAACCGATGTTGTAGGAAGAGGGTCACGTTGGGCCTGTGTAGCCCGGTCCAGGAAACACAGCAGCTGAAGGTGGTCCGCAGGCCTCCCCAGCGGGAAACTTTCCGTCTAGTTCAGTATGCCCGTCACCCATTCAAATGTTCATAGATCAGACAGGTATTTAAAATTATAGTTTATGATGCGATACTGTCTTCTGCCCTGTGCATGGAGAGAAATGAAGACCTTGTGCTCTCCAAACCCTACAATTTTTCTCTAATGCCCTGTTTTTCAAGTACTTAGGTAGTGTGTTTTTCTTCTATAGTTTTCTCTTCCTCCTTCCTGGATTTGTTTTTGCTGCAGAATAATGCTGCTTTGTGGTTTTGCTCTGGGGTGTATTGTGCTGTGTCTCATAGCCCATCGCTCCAAAATTTGTCCTGGATCCCAGATCCCATTCCTACACCTGCCATGGCAGGGAAATGTCTCTGCCTGTAGGTTCCAGAACAACGGAACTACTACCCCTGAGGGCTCTGGAGGATTTCAGGGTTTCCTTGGTCACAGGAGACAACCCTTCTTGGTTCCTGAATACCCTTAGGTTTATAAGTCTGGCTGTCTTATTCTCTCCAGGGCAGCTCATCCTAATTTCAAGGGAAGAATTTAAGGAGAAGTAAAGTGCTGGGGAAGTGGGGCCCGCAGACCATAGCAGGGGACCCCCCCCCCCAAGCTGCAGACCCTTGGACACCCCCTCACCCTGGTGGTCTGTTAGCATAGCTGGTGCCGGGTGCCCCCAGCGAGCCGCTCGGTTCCACGTGTGTTTAATGTGCAGAAGCATCTTCTCTGTTTAAATCTTAATAAAGTTGAGTGTTGCCAGTCCTGAGTGTCTTATTACTAGGAGCATGGGTGATGCTCTGCACACATGCCCAGCAGAAGCAGGAAGAAAGACACGAATTCAGGGGATCTCACTGCATCCACACTTTCCAACCAGCAGACCCGAAGCTGTATATATAGTTTGGGTATGTCGTCTTGCAGGTCGTGAGAACAAAGGTCCAGATCAACCCAGTTACGTTCCCCAGGGTACAAAGGACAAAACCACTGAAGCTGCTGGTGTGTGTTCCAGCGCTTTCCCTGTCCTGGCCTCCCGTGCTTCTTAGGTTGATTAATTCAGACGTGAAGCAGGGTGCAGGGGTCCTGGTTATCCTAATTGCAGTGATGACTTTCTGGAGTCTCCTGGGGTGTGTAGACGAGGGTCCTGCTCCCATATCTGACCTGTCTCTCGTGGCCGGGGGAGACTAAGACGAGGCCTTCTTTCTGCCTTCCAGCCACAGGTGTTGTCAGGGTGTCTTGCTATCCCATCCTATCTGTTTCAGCAACACCTCTCTCTGCCTTGGGTCTGGCTGTTTCCTTAGCCTCACGGTGTGACCAGGCATGTTTTCTAACACTTGTACTTTCCTCTGTGGCCAGTAGGTGGTGACTCAGTGCCAGCAATGGCATCATTATTATTATTTTTTTTAATTGTCAGGGAAAAAAAAATTTTTGAAGGAAATTGAAACTCTTAAACTTTGCCTGAAGATCCCAAGTTTGTGAGTCTTTGACATTCAAGGTTAGATGTGGAACCAAAGTTTATGATCCTCTTTCGACAACCTGACCTAAGATGGGAGCTCCAGGGGGAATGGTAGTTTCAATCGTTTGAGGCTCTCTAGGTCTTTACCCATTAAAGCTATTTGCACAATTACATGAGGATCTTCTTTGTTCTTTGGGTTTCTGTTCGCGTCTGTTTTATTAACCAGCCAGAGAGAGTCGCTTCCCCTTATCGCCCTCTCCTTCCCCCAGCAGTCCCAGACGTTTCATCCTGACTCCCCTAACCCATGCTGGGTAGTGACAGGTTGCGCTCTGAGTGTGTTTTGCCTCATCCACATGCATCTGTCCTGCAGGGCTGGGGGCTCTCCCCGGAGCTCCGTTAGTGGCCTCTGCAGAGCACCTGTCTTCAAGTAGCCTGTGGTTTCCAGGGCTTCACTCAGAGGAATGTGGGGGCCTTTCAACTTTGCATCTCCATCAAAGGAGCCCTCCACTGCTTCAGTTCATTTCAATAATACAGCTGTCCGGAGAAAAGCTTGTTCTGCAAGGGGGGAGGGGATGAAACCAGCAGAACTCCGACCAGAGCTGCAGTTACAGGGGTCTTCCTTACCACTGTCTTCCAGCTGCCTTCTCCCCCAGAGGGCTAAGGTGCACATCTGCCTAAGACAAAACCTGCCCCTTTCACAGGCTGAAATCAGGAAATCTGTGACTTACATTTCTGTGATCTGAGTTTATTGAACTGGTCCAGGGACCGAGCATTGTGAGAGAAATCAGTGCCCCCCTCCCCACCACTACCCCTACCGCTGGAATCAAGCTTCTGGGCTTTAGATTCTCTTTCTTTTGTGAGTTGAAACTATTCCTTTAAGAACTAAGTTGAGCAGTTCTGACCGCCTCTCTAGAGAAAGAGAGAACTACGACCACATTTGCTCCAAGGAACTGTCAGCACATAACCCAACAGCAAGCCTTGCATCATCACGTTTATTCTTAGATTTGGGGTGTCAGTGATAAGAACTGTCAGGCAGCAGGCAGGGATATGAGTTACATCTCAGGAGCAGTAAGAAAGTCTAAGAGAAGCGGAAAGCGGCATTGCTTAAGTAACATACTTGTGTGAACTGGTCTGGGAGTGAACTCTTAAAAAAATTTTTTTTTATTGGAATATAGTTGATTTACAATGTTGTGTTAGTTCCAGGTATACGGCAAAGTGAATCAGTTATATATTTACATATATTCACTCTTATTTTTTTAGAGTCTTTCCCCATGTAAGTCATTAGAGTTTTGAGTAGAGCTCCATGTACTATACAGCAGGTCCTTATCAGGTATCTATTTTACACATAGAGGTGTGTATATGTCAGTCCCAATCTGTGTCAGCATCTTCTTGACCCTCATTCCTCTTTTACCTTGGAGTTCCTGTCCGGGGTGTCTCCCCACCCACTCCCCTCCCGTGAAGATCTTCCCTGAGCCTCGCTTGGTCCATCACTTCCCTAACCCCACGTGTCTTCGGCTCCCCGCTGCCAAGAGAATTAAGTCCAAAGTTCAGTTTAGCATTCAAAGCGCTGTCATTAATTCCAACCTACGTTCTTCTTCATGAACGTCACTTTGGACAAAATATAACTCAATTCCTCCCCACACTCCCCTGCCTTTCTTGCCCTCTAGATCTGTAGATTTTCATGCAGTGGTAGCTCCTTGCCTCAGGAACTACAGTCAATATCCTGTAATAAACCATCATGGAAAAGAATACGAAAAAGAATGTATATATATATATATAACCGAATCACTTTGCTATGCAGTACAAATTAACTCGACTTTGTAAATCAACTATTCTTCAATAAAGTTTTAAGAAAAACTCTAAAAAGAGTGCCTTTCTCATTCCACCAGCCCAAATCTTGCTCAATTTTTGAAAAGCCTACCCAATTCTATTTTTTCCTTAAGTTTCATTCTAATTTGGTCTTGGGTACAGCACAGGAGATCTTCATTGCTGCGTGCAGGATCTTTAGTTGTGGCATGTGGGATCTAGTTCCCTGGCCAGGGATTGAACCCAGGCCCCCTGCATTGGGAGCACAGAGTCTTAAACCACTGGACCACCAGGGAAGTTCTTTTCTTAAGATTCTTAAATCCTTCCTGAGCTGAATTTCAGCAAAACTTTCTGGCAAACCATTTTGTGGTTCATCTCCACCCTGCCTTGTTATTTCTCTGAATCCCCATTTCCCTGTCAAACCAAGAGTTCCTTTCTTTCCTTTTACCTCTTATAGCACTTTGAATGTGTGCATGCTAAGTCACTTTAGTTGTATCCGACTCTTTGTGACCTTACTGACTGTAGCCCGCCAGGCTCCTCTGTCCATGGGATTTTCTAGGCAAGAATACTGGAGTGGGTTGCCCTTTCCTACTCCAGGGGATCTTCCCAACCCAGGGAACCAACTCTCCTCTCATGTCTCCTGCATTGGCAGGTGGGTTCTTTACCAAGAGCACCACCTGGGGAGCCAATGAAAGGAAATATTCCCAATGATTCAAAGAATGTGGACGAGAGTAAGGAATAAAGGCTGTGAAGGTACTGTGTGTAACAGAAAGATTCCACTCTCACTCAGGAAAATATGTGAAAAATATATCAGAATTTATTATTCCAATACAGTATCATACAGGTAGTGGCGACAGAGTATAAACAAAAATGAACTGATATAAATATTCTAGAGCCTAGTTTATCAGTTATTAAAATGATACATGTCTCCTGGGTCTATGATGAAACTTATAAAGAAAAAGAATTACACTGTACACAAATAGAATTCCCTCCAAGACCTGCAGTGGGAGAAAAGGAAAGCCCAACACTTGACTTAAGGGCTGGAGTAGAGGAACGTGATCTGGCCAGCCAGCCCATCCCTTGGTAGGAGGTTCCTGCTGGGCTTCCTTGTGACTATAAATAGACATTCTATTTCTAGTAGAATACATCTAACCCTTCTTTCCTGAAGGCTTGAGTTATCTTTGCCTACTGAGACATGCTTTCATCTTTGTTGTCCCCTTTCCAAAGATGCTCTCGTGCATAGAGGAGGAAGTGGGCTTCCGCCCTGGGGAGGTCTTCCACGAGGGACTGGCGTTAATCCACCTTCCCGTCTGACAGTACGTTTCAGCCCTTAAGCCCTGAAAACTTCCAAAATGGAAAAGTACCTGTGAAACTACATCCTCCCTCCACTTCCGCTGTGTGACGGAGCCCCCGCCGTGGTGAGTCTTCAGAGATGCGAGAAGCGGGGTCTCTGTGACGTAGGGGAAAACGGGGTGCCCCTGCTCACGGTCGCGTGTTGTCTCGAATCCAGTCCAGGTAGTTAGTCACCTTGGTGTACACCCCAGGGATGTCCTTCTGCCCGCAGCCCAGGCCCCAGCTGATGATGCCGACCAAGGTCATGTGGCTGTCCTTCATACACACCAGGGGGCCGCCCGAGTCACCCTGCAGAAGGGGGAAAGAGGTCATCCGCGTGCAAAAATGCAGACTCTTTGGGGGGATGTTAGGGTGAATATTTGTAGTGCTATATGTATTTTACATACAGCTAATATGTGGCACTAATATGTATCCTTCAACGTGCTCAGTTTCAGGGAGGGAAATTTTACCTCCTCAATCTTGGACCATTAGGGAATTAGGTTGTAGTTTTTTTGTAAAGTGGACTTGAGCTCAGACATTGCTGACAAGTGCTCAGTTGTGTCCAACTCTTCGCAATCACATGGACTGTAGCCCGCCAGGCTCCTCTGTCCATGGGCTTTTTCCAGGCGAGAATACTGGAGTGGGTTGCCATTTCTTTCTCCAGGGGATCTTCCCAACCCAGGGATTGAGCCCTGGTGTCCTGCGTCTGCTGCACTGGCAGGCAAATTCTTTATCACTAGCGATACCTGGTCCCCACTGGGTTGTAAAGTCACCACTAGCTGTGCGGCCCTAGGCAACTGGACTTCAGTATTCTTACCTGAATGATACTAAATAATAATAATCTAAAATAGAAATCATAGTACTTCCCTTATGAGGTTATGGGAATTAACTGTAAGAAAGCTTGAAAAGCTCTTGAGAACAATGTAAGGCACTTAGTAGAACTCTTGGCAATTTTTAGCTGTTATTGTCTTATTGAATCAAAATGACTTGTTTTTAACTTGACGCTAGCTGATAGATCATGGTTTCACTTTGCACGCAACCTTTTATGGCTATTGAGCTAGGTGGTGGAGGTGTCTGAGAAAACCCTGCAAAAAGAGACCAGAGGCTGTCATGGAGGCAAGAGGGGGAGATGGGGGTGTGATCCCCGCATCAGAACTGAGCCCACGGCCCTCAGTGCAAGACCCCAGCCCTACTGCCTCCAGCCATGCCCCCGTCTCCCAGCCTCAGTGAGAGCACAGTGGACGTGCAAACAGCCCCGAGTTGAGGGTTCCTTTGCTCCATTAGGTCCTACCTTACACCGGTCCATGTCTCACACTCAGAGTTATCATGAGATACAAGTACGTACCAGCTCTGATGGGGACGCCAATCCAGAGACCCTGTAATAGTGTGCTTTCCCGGGGGAAACCTCATCAGAGGGCTGAATGCAAGTTCCTAAAATTTCTTTCTCACAGATCATCTCTCTCCTATTTCCAGGAAGCTGCTGTTCCTCCCCTGCTACCCAAAGACCCCGATTCCGCAGCACCCACAGAAGCCAAAGCTGTCTTAACTTGTGTGGCTTTGTCCATCACTTTGATAGCCATTTAATTTTCTAGGCTTACAGGAAATCCTGTACCAGGCGGGGGTTCCGGTGCAGACACTGGGGAAATTTACTGCCGTTTAGATGTCTTCAGTTTGGGTGACTTTGATCTTGGCTCCAGCTGCTTTATTCTCTGAGGCTTTCATCTAGATCCCATCCCCCGCACCCAGATGAATCACTGCTTGGCTATAACCTTTTTTTCCCTTGGTTAAGAACCAGTTGGCCGAGGAACACTTTTGCCCGTGGATAGGGGAGGCTCAGGAGAGGAGGGCTGCCCTCGCGTACCTGGCAGGCATCGTGCAGGTTTGTGTGGTCCCCACCGCTCCGTGTGTCTCCGGCACACAACATGTTGTTGGTCACGGTCCTATTAAACAAGTGGCGGGAAGTGCAGCGGCTGGCTGGGTACAGCCGGACATGAGCCTCCTTTAGCCGCTCCGAAAAGAAAGGAGACCCTGGAAGAGAGCAGGGAAGACAGCTTGTGGCTTTACGGAAAGTTATCTAGAAACCTTTTGGAAGGAGAAACCTGAACTTTTCAATGATAGCTAACGTTGATTAATCTTTTACATGTATTAAATTGAATCCCACGGAATTGCCCATATTTTAACCTTTTGACCTAGAGAAATGGCAGTTTCATAGAGTTTCACCTAGGTGTTTCTCAAGAGCAGCAGAAGTGACATACATTTGGGGCCAGGTAATAGTTTTTGCAGGGGGCTGCACTGTGTATTGCAGATGTCTGCCAGCACCCCTGGCTTCTGTGTGCATGCGTGCTTAGAGTCATGTCTGACTCTTTGCGACTGCATGGACTGTAGCCCACCAGGCTCCGCTGTCCAAGGGATTCTCCAGGCAAGAATACTGGAATGGGTTGCCATGCCTGTCTCCTGGGGATCTTCCCGACCCAGGGATCAAACCAGGGTCTTCTGCAATGCAGGCAGATTCTTTACGATCTGAGCCACCAGGAAGCTTCACTGGCTTCGATCCACTAAACGTGGGTATAAACCTCCATCCTGAGTCACAATAACTGACATTGCCACATGTTGCCTAGCGGGCAAGAGCACCCTAGCTGAGAACCACTGGTTTAACCTAATATCTCATTTAAGCCTCAATCTATTCACTTCTTACCAATGAGGAAACTGAGGCTTGGAGCAGCATGAAATGAAAAATCCACGCCTGGATCACAGGGCTCACCAGGTGCAGAGCGAGGGCTGCCGGGTGGCAGGCAGAGCCCAGGAACCACACCCTTAACTAAGCTCGCTCCACGTCTTACCAAAACCTCCTTGAAATCTTCAGCCCTTAAAGCCCTCCTGCCAGTTAGACCTCTTCCTTGACCGACCGGGCCATTGGCTGGGAAGGTGGATGGCGGGGCTTCACTTAGCAGGAATCTGCCCAGGCTATCATAGCGGCGGAGCCTGCCCCAGGGCTGGCCTGGACACTCTCAGGATGGCTCTTTCCTCTCTCGGTCAGCACCCGCCCCCCACGCTGCCCCCAGACAGACAGGACGGCACAGAGACTTCCTCCCACTCACAGGCCTCGTGTTTCCCATAGCCGGACAGCTCGCACTCCGTCCAGTCGGGCAGCTGCAGGCTGGCGTCTGGGAGGCAGATGGTGCGGACGGAGCTGCTCTCCCGGGCGCAGGTCAGCGAGTCCGATTTCAGGTGCAGCAGCGCTGGGAGAGAGGGATTGAGGAAGAAAGTGGGGATTTCCGGGGAAAGGAGGGAGGGGCCAGGGGCCTGGGAGGAGGAGGTGGGCGGTGTGGGTCTGGGGGCGTCTAACTGGAGCCAGGGAGAGCCGGACATCTTACCGATGTCATTGTCGTAAGTGTCATCATCAAATTCCTTGTGGATGATGTATTTTTCTACTTCAAACATCTGCTCCTCCTCTCCAGGGACGAGCCGGTATGTCCTGCCCAGGACCACCTTGAGATGGTGAGTCGGGTACCTGACGGAGAAACGGGCGTGAGGATGCTCTTCTGTATCCGGCCTGGTCCGAGGCCTTAGGGGAAAGGCCGGCCCACTGGGCGCGCATCCCTACCTCTCCTGGAAGCAGTGGGCGGCCGACAGCACCCAGCAGGAGCTGATCAGGATCCCCCCACACAGAAACCGCTCTCCCGGGGACCGCCTGTTCTTGACGAAGATCGCGGCCTGCCAGGGGTGGGAGGTGATGTCGGCGAAGAGGCCTCCTTTGATGCGGAACTGGGGCCGCTTGTACTGTCTCAGGCCACAGGTGACTGCGGAGGGCAGGGCGGAGTGGGGGGTCAGACCTGCGGGCATGGGCGAGGTCCCCAAGCCCCAACCCAGTGTCTCGTCTGGGAACCCGGGTTCCCACCCACGGCTGCGCTTCTGTGGCGTCTGTACAGAGTGACTGGAGCCTCTGCTTCCCTCCTCCTCGCATCCCGGCCGCCATCACTACTACACCACTGCTGCAAGGCATCTCCAGAGAGCAGCCTGGAGCCCGACGCCATCCATGAGAAACGGCTGCATCCTTTCCTCCTCTCTTGCCCCTCCCATCACCTGCCCAACAGCGTCGCCATCCACCACGGCTTCAGCCGGGCAAGCCCCCTCCCCACCCAGGTCCGGCCTTCCTGAAAAGCTGACCGCTGCGTAGCCTGGACCAGACAGCTTTGGGAAGCGGCGGAGGACACGGGCAAGAATAATGCTGGGTGAGAGGAGCCAGTCTTACCGCACTGGGGCACGTCACAGTACTCCCAGGTCAGCTGGCGGTCCTTCCACACGTGGCACCAGGGCTGGGCGTCCCCATCGGGATTCCTGGGTGTGAGGAGGGACGGTTTTCAATCACATCACAAGCCAGGGAAGAGGGGAAGGCGGCCCAACTGGGGGGCGGGGCAGGGGGGGGGGGAAGACCCTGAGCCCTGGGCTGGGCTCTGCCATAGATCCCCCCCCACCACCTAGGAAATCATTCCTATCTTCTGCATTTTGTTGTCATCTCCCAGCACATCTGGGAGAAAACCCCCAGGATGGAATAAAGGGGCCTCCCGAGGATGGAGCAGGTGAGGGCAGCCCCTCTTAACTTGGGATACGGGTCAGACCGTAGAAGCGGGTCCCTCCCACCCACGTGACCTTCATGTGTGAGTTTCCGCGTCGGCCCCGCCCCACCCTCCGCGCGGACACGCCCCCAGGGTCCACACGGCCCACCTGCAGTGGTTGTGCTTCCCCAGGCCCAGGGCCCGCGCGTTGCTCTTCCAGGCAGTGTAAATCTTGCTCGTTAGGAACATGGAATTCCACGGGAGGCAGGAGGCCCCAGACTTGGTGCGGCTGCGGGTGCCGCGGTATGCCAGCCCGTTTCCAGTGTAGCAGTCCCCATCTTCTTCTGCAGCTGGAACGCAGGAAATCCAAACTGAAACACAGCTGCTGAAGCGACGGGAGGGGGGAGGGGGGAAGGCAGCCCTCCCACCTCGCCCTTTTCTCTCCTTCGGGTGCATTCATTGCGGGTGGCCAGCGGCTTCCACCTGGTGCCAGCCTCCCCATCACTGGGCTGTCTTAAGGGAGACCGTGAGGGATATTCAGGGTCAGGAAAGGCTGCCCAGTTCAGCTAGTGGGGAATGATTATTCCTGGAGCCGCTTGGAAGGCTGTTAGGGGTTTCCTTGTTTCTGCCTGATAGGCTGCTGTCAGTCTGGGGGCTTCTGTGGGGGGCCATGTGTGCAGGCCCAGTTTTCTCGGATTTTGTCTGCCAGGGCCTTGGAGGATTTACTGGACTTGGGAGGGAAGCAAGAGTATGAACCTTCGAATGCTGAGCATTTGCCCCCAGTTTACCCTCTTTTCTACCCATCTGAAACTGACGCAGTACCCTGGCACGCACCAGTAACCTATTGAGAGGGGCCTTTGAGATCATCAGGCCCAGTGAATCCCAGTTTATACCAGATCTGGGGGGGGGGGGGGCAGGATGCTTTAGAGTCACTCTGTGCTGTGTTCTGCTTAGCGGCCCAGTCGTGTCTGACTGTGCGACCCCATGGACTGTGGCCCGCCAGGCTCCTCTGTCCACAGGGATTCTCCAGGCAAGAATGCTGGAGTGGGTTGCCGTGCCCTCCTCCAGCGTTGGAGTTACTCTAAAGAGCCCTCAAAATCACAAGTCTATCAGTGTCACTTGTAGGCTGAATGTGCATTTTTATACATGTATATTTAGAACTTTGAAACATATTTTTACATGATTGTGATAAATAGCATCATTATTTGGGAAAGCACCACTGAGCTCATAGTGCCTTTTTGTAGCTGAGTACTTTTTAAATCTGGGAAGTTTTCTCACATTAGAAGTCTTTAGAGACAGAGCGTGATCTTGAGAAATAGGCCCATTAATCAAAAAAGAGAGAACTTGCATGTATTCTCAAAAGGACTGGAAAACACCGGTAGAGCCCCATCTTTTCTGTCCACGAGGAAACTGAGGGTCAGCAGGGTGCAGAGATCGGCTCGAGGTCAGACAGCTAGTTAGAGGCCAAGCCTGATGAGGACCTAAGCCTCTTGACTTCCTTCCTCTGATGCCAAAGTGACTGACCGCTTCACTCCTTTGTCTCCTCATTTGCAGAAGGACCGTCAGCCTTGTCCTCCAGATCTCCCTAGATCTCCCTTCCCCACCCCAGCCCCCTGGGACTCTGTGAGGCCGCAGGGCCCTGGGGAGGCTGCACTTACCCTTAGCACAGGCTGGAGTGCTGCAGAACTCAGAGACGTATTTCCCTGCCTTGAAGATGTAGCACCAGGGCTTTGAGTCTTGGTCCGGGTTTCTGAAAAATCAGCCGGGGAGGCCAGGGTAAGTGAAGTTAAGCCTGTTTCTCAGGCCAAGGACTCTTTACTCTCCTGGGGAGAGAGCTATTTATGTTTGTTGTACCCAGGAGAGTCAGATCATGTTGGGTGGAGGTATGACCTTGTAATCGCCTTTGTTGGGAGATTAAACATGGTTTACAGAGATGCATATGGCTGCCACGTTGACAAGGGGTAGACCATGCTGGCGGGCTTTATGTGTTAACTTGGCTGAGCTATTGTGCTCAGTTGTTCGATCAAACACCAGCCTTGGTGGTGCTGGGAAGGGATGTGTCGATGTGGTTCACGTAGGTCAGCTGACTTCATCCAGTCAGTCGAAGGCATATGAGGAGCAAAAGCTGAGAAATTCTGTCTCACATTGCAGTGTCAACTTGGGTCTGAGTTTCCAGCTTGGGGAGGGGGCTGCCTACAGATTCCAGACCTGCCAGCCCCACCACGGTCATGTGAGCCAATTCCTTAAAATGCATCTCTTTATGTAGATAGAAATGTATTTACATCTCTATATATAGATATATATATATATGTATCTATAGCTATATAAATAGATATATCTTTCTGGAGAAGAAATGGCAGCCCACTCCAGTATTCTTGCCTGGAGAATCCCATGGACAGAGGAGCCTGGTGGGCTACCATCCAAGGTGTCACAAGAGTCAGACACGACTTAGCAACCGAACCACCACGACCAGGCATATCTTTGTTTCCGTATCCGTGTACCTCCTATGGGTTCTGCTCCTCTGGAAACCCTGGCACAGGTCTTTGCGTGACTGCCCCAGCTTCTCACCAGAGGAAACCCTCCTGGGGGGGAGGCAGCCATCTCACCTGCAGTAGTTGTGGTTCCCAAGGCCCAGCCTGACGGCGTCGGGCCTGCGCCCGCTGTAAGGCTTCATGGCCAGGCCGCTGCTGTTCCAGTTGGCGCACTCAGCCCCGCTCTCTGCTGTGCTCCACGTGCCTCTGTAGGCGACACCCTGGTCCTTATAGCACGTGGCAGTGGTGTCTGATGGGAAGCGGGACACACGACACATCCCATGTGAGTCCCCTTTTCATCTAGTTTTCCACGGGGGGCTCAGCGCCGCCTCTGTCACCCCTGCAGACCGCCGAGGCGGGAGCTGCTGCGGGGGGCTGGGTCTCCCCGTGGCCCGGGACAGCACCAGGCTCCAGACTCAATCCTGAGACTCTAACCACCCCCGGGTGACCCCACCCTACCCCGACCCTTCCCTCATCACCCCACACTGTGCTCTCCTTTCTGGATCATTTTGCAGGTGGGATTTCCTGGTAGGTTCTCATCTCATAGATGCGCACCACGCACCTATTTCACAGCGCTTCCCCATGAACCCTTCTGGGCACTGGCAGACAAAGTCTGAAGAATAGACGGCCTGCCGACACGTCCCCCCGTTGAAACACCAAGGTTCACTGCAACCTGTCAAGTAGAAGCAAGGGGACCCCGAGTTACTTTCCAGGCACCCCAAGAACACGAGTCAAAGTTGAAGAGGGCACCCTCCCCACAGGCGCAATTCTGAACACTTTACCAAAACCAAACTCATTGACTCCTCGCAGCTGACCCCAGAGTCTATACAGCTGTTCTCCCATTTTACAGATGAGCAAAGTGAGGCCCATGGCCTCACACCTTCACCTTGGCCTAAGGCAGAGTGTGCCCGAGGCCCTGTTAGAGGGTTGGGCGGGCTGGGGATCGTGACAGACAGGGCTCGGGCCGGGGGGCCGTGGGAATGGGCCCGAGGCTCACGGCCCGGTTTGGGTGGACACGTACTTCTGACGGGCACCGAGTGGCACTGGGCCCGGCCGCCGTTGCACCAGCAGTGCTCCACCTGATTGCTCCTGAGCAGGGGTCGCAGCCAGGACTCATGCTGGAGGTACGTCATCTGCATTTTTTCATCTCTGCAGGTCACTGTAACCACAGACAGGCCAGCCTCTTTAGGGCCCGACTCACCCCACACTGATGCCTCCCCTCTTCCATCCTGCTCACTCTCAGAAAAATCCATCCTTTATTCCTTCCTTGCTCTCAGCAGAAGACAACAAATACCCCATTTTTGTCAACAAAGACCCCTTTCATTATAAACAAACAAACAAACAAACTTTCAAATCCAGCTTATTAGGGAGATGTGCCAATATTATTTTCCATATGACTGTGTGACCTTACATTTAATTTCCCATGGAAATCAGTTATTTTCTTGAAATAAATAATAAAATGGTGTATTTCTACTGTCTCCTTATGTTAGTTTCAGTGAGCCATGAAACCCACTTGAGAAAAACAATCAACAAAAACCTCTCTAATTGTTTTTCCTCTGATGGGACCTTATTTTGAAAGAATTTATTGATCAAGACACATTTATAAAGTAATACTCTGATTTTTCATTTTAATTCATCAAAAAAGAGGCACATGTTTGCAATTACCTACCAGAACTTTTGATTCACATGAGTATTATCACACTGAGATGATGCACTTCTGGCCCCAAACAAAGAAAAGTAATATTTTAGTCTGTGCAGAAAATGTGCTACTTCCGTTAGTATTTCTGGCATAGTGAAAATAGTTGAAAGAGTCCCATTAATAGGTGTTCCCCTTTTCTCTCTCTGTTTGCAAATCAGAATGCCAGCTCAAAGAATCTGTAACTTTTAGTGGATTGAAGAAGTGACATGAGCTCACTGTCAGTGGTACTGCTGTTCTTTCAGCAGCCCGTTGGCGCCAAGACACGCTGGCAGGAAAGGCCGAGCTGTCTGACGGTGAAGGCAGTGAGAGTTAAGCCGTGACTCACTCTGGGGAAGCTTCCACCTTAAATGGGTGTTACAGAGCCTTCCAGACCCAAAGGAAGTAGGTCCTGAGGGAGGAGGGGTGATTTGGGACCTGCAGTTCTTCCTATCAGATTCAAGACACTCGAGCCTAAGCATCATTTATTCTTGGGATCCTAGTGGAAATGGTGCATGCATTTTTAGCCTCAACTCTAGACACGGCCTTACAAAAAAGGTCTTCCCACAGCACTGCCGTGAAATAAAGTATAACCCAGGTTGGTCATCTCTGAATTACCAACCGAAGCAACGGAGGCACAGAGAAATTAGTTAACAGAGTGGAGTCCGGGGGGAAGGGGCTCACAGCCCAGGGAAAGGCCCTGGAGGAGCCTGCGGCCTGGTGGCTGTGTGACCCTGGGCAAGTCACTCAGGCTCTCTGGGCTCTGTTCTCATCTGTATAACTGCTCTTTGGGCCACTGGGCCCCCAGCAGTGAGTGACTGCCTGATGTCCTGACACCTTGCCAGCAGACCTGTTCCTATGTGAGTGATGAGAGGGCACAGGCATGTCTACAGACTCTGGCTTTCACGGAGCTTAAGTAAGCAGGTCACGTGGAAGAAAATCCCCGCTGGAGCTTCAGGCACCCTGACCCTGACCCTCACCCTGCCTCCGTGGACCACTCTCCACCCCAGCAGCGTCTCACCTCTGTACGATCTGGCGCCTCTCCTGAGTTGTCTGTAGGTTTCCTGCAAAAAAAAGAAACCAGGGGTGGAAGAAGAGTCAGCACACACAGGTGTCTGAAGAATAAAGGTGGTCAAACCAGAAGACTGCCATCAACCCACCTGTCCAGAGCACTCCTCTCAAGTAACTGGCCCAGGTGCAATGTCCACACCTGTCTTCCCCTCTGATCCTTCTTCTCTTTCTAGCCTAGTCCTGTCCAGAAGGACTTTCTGAGTGGTGAAATGTTTAATACCTGTGCTGTGTGATATGGCAGCCGCTGGTCACACGTGACGACTGAGCACTCATATGTCATGTGACTGAAGTGAATTTAAGTTTCATTTCATTTTAATTGTAGATGAAAACCAGCCACCCGTGGGTTAGTGGGGATGTGTGCCCTCACCCCACCTCCTCCGTGTGACCATCCACACTCTCCCCTCTCTAAAATCCTGCTGTGTTGGGCATTGCTCACTTGGCCTGAATGATGCTCTTAGCTGCTGGGGATCTTCAGAGGCCACGTCCTAACTAGATGGTACGCAATACATGGGCAGCTTGCTCACAGTGCCTGCACTTTTATAAAAACTTCACAGATTCTGACTTCCCCGGTGGCACAGTGGATAAGAATCCACCTGCCAACGCAGGTTCGATCCCTGGTCTGGGAAGATCCCCTGTGCCGCGGAGCAACCAAGCCCATGCGCCACTACTACTGAGCCCGTGCTCTGGAGCTGGGAGCTGCAGCTGCTGAAGGCTGCATGCTCTAGGGCCTGAGACCCACAACTTATGAGCATCTCTGTTGCACCTACTGAAGCTGGTGCACCTAGAGCCCATGCTTTGCAGCAAGAGATGCCACCCCAGTGAGAAGCCTGTGCACTGCAACTAGAGAGAAGACCCTGCTCTCCAAAACTGGAGAAAGGAGAAAGCCCCAGTGCAGCAACGAAGACCCAACACAGCCAAAAAAACTTGTAAAAAAAAAAAATTCTTCATGGATTCATTCAAGCAAATCCTTTAAAAACAGCTCCAAAGAAGTCACGCAGCAGTGGGGCTTACTCAAGTCAGAATGGTGCGCGGGGTTCCCGCCGGAAGCCTGGACCTTGAGCCTCGTCCAGCGAGGGGAGCGTGTCCCACTGTGTCCCAGCACAGACACGCGCGCACACCTACCTGACTGGGCGACGTGAAGACGGCTCCGCAGAGCAGCAGCATGCACAGGAACTCTGTCTTCATGGCGTTCGTTATTTCCTCGGGATGTCCCTTAAAGTCTGGAAGAAGAGGGGGAAAGAAGCAGGAGATGTGAGAGGTCCAAGCGGGCAGCAGAGTCCCGGAGCCAGGCGGTCCTCCCAGCATTGTGTCCCGGGGCAGGAGAGGCCGCGGCCAGCGTCTGGGAGATGGGGTTTTTGTTCTCATGTATACATTCGTTATTGTGGCTAAATACACAGAACACAAATATTTCCCATTTTAACCACTTCTGAGTGTAAGTTCAGCGGCATTAAGTTCACTCACATTGTTGTGCAACCATCACCACCATCCAACTCCAAATGTTCATCTTCCCAGGCTGAAGCTCTGTACCCCGAAATCCCCAAATCCTTGTTCCCCCGGCAACCACCATCCTACCTACTCTTTCCATGAATCCGACTACTCCAGGTGCCTCATGTAAATGGACTTACATGATATTTGTCCTTTTGTCTCTGACTTATTTCACTGGGCATGATGTTCTCAGGTCCATCCGTGCTGTAACATGGGTCAGACTTTCCTTTGTTTTTAAGGCTGGATAATATCCCACTGAGTAAATGGACCACATCTTGCTTATCCATGCATCTAGCGATGGACACGGGTTGCCAGAAGACAGCTTTGTTCAGACATCTCTGTGGGCTGAAGGCTGACACCACCTCTGGCCCTGGCTGCAGCCCAGGCCATCAGGGCACTAGCTTGGTTTCCCTTGAAGTGAGCGCCTGCCCTGGGGTTGACTAGATGGACCCACGGCAATGTCCACTCTCTGACTTTTTTAGAGGAAATCATAGGAGATCTGGGGTTGGCACGTCTCAGAGCCAGCTCTCCTCTGATGGCCTGAGCCCAGTCCCGGAGGACTTCCACGTCTCCTTGTCCAACAAAGGGAAGTCTCCTCCACCACCGCCTCCCTGCTCCACTGAGAAGCCGGCCTCCTTTAATATTCAGGCCCTGTGAAGTGCAGTTTTGCACAGAGGAGGGGCGGCATCTGGTTTGGGTGTTCGGACTCAAATCTTCCTGACCCCACATCCCTGGTTCCGTCTGCCTGGTCCTGGCTAGGGCTCCGGCCCTCAGCCGCTCACAGTGGGTTAGTCGGTTGGGGTGTTATTTTGTGGTCTGGCAGCCTCACTTGCTCCCTTGTCGGCAAGGATTAAACCAGGGCTCTTCTTCTTCCCTTGACTCATTTCCCCTCAGTCACAACAACTCTGCTCCCATCCCTGCCCCCCACCTTCATCCCAAGCATCGGAAGGGCCCCGCTTGGTTCGGAGCGCCCAGGACTTGGACCCCAGCGCTGGCTCGGGCTCCTTTGCCGTTAGAGATGCTGTCCTCTCACATGGCCACAAGCCTCCTTTAGAGCAACGGTGAGAAAACAAGGAGCCAGAGGCGGGGGAGCCGCTCTGCCCCAGTGACCTTCTGGGCCACTGGTGACAGGCAAGGCGCGCGGAGCTGTGGGAGAAGGAGGCGGGGACCGGACCATCCGGGCAGATTCCTCGGGCTCAGAGGGCATCTTGCCAACCAGCACACCCCTCCCGCTCCACATAAGAAACAGAAAGAAGCCAGGATCTGGGTCTTTGTTCCAGTTTGGCCTGCCCCCCAGGGGAGGCCCTTCCCGGGCAGGGCAGCGTGTTCTGCAGGGGCTGGGGGGTGGGGTGGGACCTTTTCTCGCCCAGAGCAGGAAGCCTGCTGGCATTTGCTGCTTCCAGGCAGCTTCAGAAGGAAGACCTAGGGGTCGAGGGCATCCGAACAGGACCCGGAGCAGGGAGTCTTCAGATCACAGGCCATCACTCCTGATTTTGGTGCTTAGCAGTCCTCCAATTTCCCCTTTCTCAAAATTTTCCCAATTATCCTGGTACTTTGAATCTTCAAAAATAGCTCTTCGTAAACACATCCCCCCTCTCTCTTCCTGCTATTAATCATGTTTCACATATTTGTAGGTGTCCCAGCTTTTATTATCTCAGCCAAGCCTTGGGATGGGGAGAGGTCTGCCTGCCCAGGGCTCTTGGCAGAAATTCTGAATGAAGCAATGAACCAGCCTGAGACTGGGGAAACTGGCTCTTCTTCCTCTTGCCTGATTATTAGCCAGGCCTTCCAGCAAGTTCGTTCCCTTCAGACAGGGGGCTTGTCTTTTCTCTGGATGCCCATCATCAAGCAACTGTGTTTCAAGAATTCAAGGTCCTCCTTGAATGGGGTACATTCAAGGGACTCGTGAAGGGGCCCTACATGGAGCAGAAGTCTAGATGCTGGAAAATTGCCAAGTGATAAGAGCAGCATTAAGGTCTTTGCATTCATTGGACAGATGGGGGGAGGGGGCCCCGTGGGGGGAAGGAGGCCTGACGGGGGTGGGGAGGGATGCACTTAGGGCTGAGGGTAAAGGACCCAACAGCTGCAGCGCCTCAGACCCTTTTGCAACTGAAGACTCAGCAGAAGGGGCGTCTTTTTGTCTTCTGCTCTGGGACAGTCGGAGCCTGTCTCTTTTCTGTCAGTCCTTATCTTCCTCCACTTCTTCTGGCCTTGCAAGGCCTGGAGCTGACCCAGGGCCAAAGAGCCTGACACAAACCATGGGACGTTCCATCCTCGCTGCACGGAAGCGATGGGAACAGCTGGATGGGCCGAGTAGGGCAAGAGGATGACAAAGAAATGAGTCATCCTGCCTACAGTCAGCGCCTTCCCGAGACAAGACAGCGAGACAAGGAGGCAAATCTCGTCCTGGCGTTGCCTTTGTGGGGAGGGAGGTGCAGAGGACAGGGTGCAGTGTCTGGGAGAAGAGCGAGTGACCCTGGAGATTCAGGAAGCACTCAGGACCCTGGGGAGTTGTGGACCTCAACCCTGGACCACAAGTTCCCACCAAAGGGAGAGCCGCCTATGTGAGACTGGTAGGAGGAGAGATTTGAGAAATAAAGCACCAGAAGTCTCTTGCAGGCTCATTTTGTAAATCCAAAACTTGTCATCTTTTTGGTGTGTTCCTTTTCTCTTACTGTATTTAATAGTTTTCCAGAATCAAAAAACTAAAAGAGCAAAAAAAGGACTTCCCTGCGAGGGTGGGCGATGGGGTGGGGGCGTCCAGTGGTTAAGACTTTGCCTTCCAATGCCAGAGGTGCGAGTTCGATCCCTGGTCGGGGAACTAAGATCCCACATGCCTTGTAGCCAAAAAACCAAAGCATATTGTGACAAATTCAGTAAAGACCTTAAAAAAGGTCCACATCAAAAAAACAAAAAACAAAAAACCAAAAGCAAGGCAGGAAAAGAGGGAGGGAGGGAGGGAGGGAGGAAAGACAAGAAAAAGAAAACCACAGGGATGGGGATGGCTGGCTTTTGTGGGACTAGAATCCCTGAGTCACCAGCAGCATATGGAATGATTCTAAGATCGCTGGTCCCCAAGGTCCCAAGGCCCCAGCCCTGGCAGGCCCACCTAGGCACATAAAGTCAATTTTTGCAGATTTGCAAAAGGCTACGTGGACAGACCTCTGGAGACCCAGAGCTCAGCAAGTTGACAAAGAATCTGTGCAGATTAGAAACATCAGGACACGTCGGTGGTAAAGCGTGGCCTGGATTCGCAGGCTGTACCCGCGGGCATCCTTGTGGAGGACCAGCCTGCGATCTCCGCCTCCAGGGCGCCCCCTCCCCCCACCCCGCCATCTGCGCAGAAGCCACACAGGGCCCTGCTGGGCGGCAGAGAAAAGTGACTCTGTTCTCCGGCCTCTGAATAGCTGTGAGTGATGACGTGACTCTGTTCCCCAGCCTCTGAATAGCGGTGAGTGATGACTGCTCGAGGGAGAACAATGGTCTGCTCACCAGGGAGGAGGGGTGGTCTCCAGGAGCCAAAGGTGCCTTTGTGGCTGGGAAACCAATCTCGCCAGCCAGAAGCGCAGGACTCCTTTCTGCGGTGGTGGCAGGGGGAATGCTGATTGATGGGCCCTGGAGTCTGGCTGGGGCGAGGCCATGGGAACCGCAGCAGGACAGCCGGGGGAAGGGCCTGGGGGGTGCAGTGGAGGGCTGTAGGCAGGGTCTTTCACTGCCCTTCACATGACCCATTCCCACCACCTGCTCCAGAAAGGCCTGCTCTCAGCAAAAGCACTGACACCCTCCTTCACATATGTTTTGACTGTATCAAAAGGAATGTGTTGGCACTTCCCTGGGAGCCCAGTGGTTAGGGTTCTGGGCTTCCCCTGCAGGGGGCATGGATTCCATCTCTGGTGGGGGAACAAAGATCTCACATGCTGTTCGCCGTGGCCAAAAAAAAAAAATTAATGTGCTGCCCTTCCAAAAAGCATCTTTGATTTGAGACATCAAATCTGCTCCCAGGGATGCAAAACCAAGTGGGCTAGACTCTCAAGGCTTCCTCCAGGGCTGACGCCTTGTGATTTCTGCTGTTCTGAGTGTGCACGTGCTGTGTGGTCTGTGAAACACCTACATGTGGGGAGGAGAGCTTTCATGTAAACACTCCACCACATCCCATAACGTGACCTACAGTAAAGATCCGGGACCAACCAATCAAGTTCTCTGATTCTAGGTACAAACAGCACATTTGCCGGGATGTTAAAGCTGCTTCTACTCTTGGCAGCAAAAACAAGTCAGAAACACTGAGCCAGCTGGAGGACCATGGAAATTGCAAGGGAAAGATAAAGTTCAGTTGATACGGCTATTCAATTTTTGCAAGCATGCAAGGCTTGCTCACTTAATCTTTGGCAAAGAAGAGCCTTGGTTTGTTATTACTTCACAAAGTCTCTCTCTGGAAATCTGAGTAAGAGAAAACCAGTCTCCAAGAACACCAATACTCCAAAATGACTCACAGCTTTAAGACAAACATCACCATCCCTCCCCCCACCCAGCCACTATGCCCTGGACGGATGCCAACAAATTAGAAAAGAGATGGTCAGAACTCCCTGAAACAGCAAAGGCCTGTCACTGAGTCAGGAGAAGAGATGTGGTGAGATGGGATGAGGAAACAGGCTTTGGAAATTGGGGCTGAACTCCCACAGAAAAGTGCACCTGTGTCTGCACCAGCGTCAGAGCCCAGGGCTGGAACCGTTAGCTCTATGGGTCACGGCTGTATACCATCTTCCACCTATATGGGTCCTCCTTTTTATAGGGTTTCCCTGGTGGCTCAGAGGGTAAAGAATCCACCTGCAGTGTGGGAGACCCAGGTTCAATCCCTGGGTCGGGAAGATCTCCTGGAGAGGGGAATGGCAACCCACTCCAGTATTCTTGCCTGGAGAATTTCATGGACAGAGGAGCCTGGTGGGCTATGGTCCATGGGGTTCCAAAGAACCAGACACAACTGAGAGACTAACACTTTTTTTTTTTTTTTAGAGTTTATGCTCTCAGAATAGAAACCATTTCTAAAACTGCCATCACAGAAGCCATTCTTAGCTCTTCCCTAGAGATTATAATACTAAGTGGAGTCAAAGACCAATATCACTCATATGCAGAATCTAATTTTTTTAATTATATAAATGAACTTATTTATAAAATAGAAATGCACTCACAGATTTTGAAAGCCAACTTCTTTACCAAAAGGGACATGGGAGGTGGAGGGGAGTGGTAAATTGGAAGCTTGGGATTAGCATATACACGCTACTATATATAAAATAGATAACTAATAAGGACCTATGGTAGAGCATAGGGAACTGTACTCAATATTCTATAATAACCTATATGTGAAAAGAATATGAAAAAGAACGAAGGTATGTATAACTGAATCACTGTAACTATAGTTACAGTTATAACTATAATGAACACAACATTGCAAATCCACTATATGCCAATTAAAAAACAATTTTAAAGGTAATTTCCTGTGTGCTAAAGCTTATTTTCTCTCTTTCTGGACATAATTCTTTATACCTAAGGAACAAGAGAGGTGTCTTTCTTATCTAATTGGATCAGTTCCAATGAGGTAAATAGAAAAAAATCCTCTCCTGGCACCTCCCGCCCACTCCCACATCTCTGCTTCATTACTCAGGATGGAATTCTCTGCAAAGCATCTTTAAAATACAGGAGTATGTCTACATGTGTGCTAAGCCGTTTCAGTCGTGTCTGACTCTGCAACCCCATGGACTGTGGCCCACCAGGCTCCTCTGTCCATGGACTATAGCCCACTAAGCTCCTCTGTTGCTGGGGGCTCTCCAGGCAAGAACACTGGAGTGGGTTGCCATGCCCTCCTCCAGGGGATCTTCACGACTCAGGAATCAAACCCATGTTTCATGTCTCTTGCCTTGGCAGGTGGATTCTTTACCACTAGCACCACCTGGGAAGCCCCCATAGGCACATGACCTGTGTCTAAGTTTTATACAACATTGACCTACTCAAAACAATCTATCCTGAGCGTTGTCATCACCGAACTTCTCCACCCTCTGCCAGGTAACCCTGCTTATCTGGAGGGACTCAGGGAGTGCAGCTGTGGGTCTGGGAAAAAAGAAGCCCATCCTGCCTCCTCCTCTGATAAAAGAAGAGAAACTTAGATCCTTGTGAAGAAAATGCAAAGTGCAGCTGGCAAAGCTAACCCCGTGAGTCAGGGCAAGGAGGTATGATCCCTGAGTTTGAATCTCAGCAAACAGCAATCGATGTTAATCTAAGAGTCTTGTTCTTCATTGAGGCAGTTTCTGGTGTTTCCTCCACGCCCTAAAGCAAACGTCACCACGAGTAATGAAATATGCCATCACCCAGTAATTCTGCAGTCTCCCCTCCAAATTTCAACACACTTAAATCAGGAAAAGATGATCGGAGACGTTCATCGTTATCACCCTATGCGGAAACTGTCCACCTTTTATGAGACTCACATGAAAGTGAGGTGATAGCATAGTTTTGAGAAATGCGTCTGGATGAATGCCATTTACTCATCAGGTCCTACAGTGCTGACGCTTGTCAGGCATCCACTAAATCATTTAAGTCAATATTATCTCTTGTTTAACAGATGAGAGAATCGAACTTCAAAAAAAATGTAATGAACCTGCTCTCACACCACACATCTAAGGGAGGCGTCGGGACTCAGGACAACCGGCTCTATAGAAAACCCCCCCAAGTCGCTCTTTCCACGACTCTTACTGGGTCCTGATGCTGGCCTGTCGTGTTCTGAATGTGCACAGAGTTGTTGATGGAGAGCAGTGGCAATCGGAATGCAAGGAGCGTAGTCCCTCCAACCTCCTCTTACCGGCTGTGTGTGTTCCCGGTTTTCTAGTGGTCCCGTCCTTTCCACCAGCTGGACAGTGCTGGCAATTAGGACAGAAGCAGGTAAAGCCCCTTTGAACAGTTGGTGCCCAGCACAGTTAACTGTACTTACTGCCAGGAGTGCCCTTAGAAGGAGGGCCAAAGTTTACAGCCTCTCCCTGGAACATGGACTAGAAAGGAAGCCAAGTTCTATGGGGTCATCATCGAGTTCAAGTGTTAATACCAAATCCCGCCTCCTAGATCATCCGAACATCTTGCGGTGACCTGTACCCAGATTCTTGATGACTGAAATCAAGTTTCCTGCCCTTCGTCTGTACGCGCAGATCAGTATTAACAGGAGCCTGTACTTCCTGGATCACGGGGTAGTGTCTTTTATCCTATTTTCAATCTTTTTCTTTTGTTTGCCTTTCCCAGGCCTATTTATACCACACACGCCAGGGCTATTCAGGACTCTCAGAGGAAGCTGGAGTTCGCGGCCAAGGCAGCTGGAAGGTGAGACCCTCGATGCTGATAAGGGCCGTCTGATGCAGACCACGCATGTGTTTGAAAACCAGACACATGAGGCAAGATAAAGGAGGAAACCAGAGCTTCTCAGAAAACAAAACAAAGCCAAAGCCCCCTCTTTCCCCCCAGCTCATGTGGCAGAACTAGGCTCTTGCTGCCAAATAAAGCGAGTTCCTCTTTTCTGTGAATAGGACGACCTGTGAATAGCCAGCAAAGGCCAGAGTCTGGTGGGCTTTCTGTTTCAGATTATTCCTAGTCAGTTGCTGGGTTCAGGTTCCTCCCAAGCCCACTCCCCACACCTTCAAGGAACTGCCCCTGCAAAGATCTCTAACCAGAGGGCTTGGGGGCCATCCTCCTGGTAGCCATCAGATCTCTCATCCCATCCGCCTTGACTGGAAGCCCCAGCTCTCTGGTCTGCTTCTTCCTGAATTCACAGGCGATGACTTACTCTGTAGCACCACCAAGCAAGGGCGCCAACCATGCCCCAGGCACGAGTCTGCAGTATAAAGACACAGGAACTCCAACCTCAACACGGCAGAGCCTAGGACTTCCCCGGTGGCGCAGTGGATAAGAATCCACCTGCCAACGCAGTGGACGTGAAGTTTGATCCCTGATCCGGAAACTAAGATCCCATATGCCCTGGAGCAACTAAGGCCCTGCGTCACCACTACTAAGCCCATGCTCTAGAGCCCATGAGCTGCAACTATTGATGCCCGCATGCCCGGGAGCCCATGCTCCATAACAAGAGAAGCCACCACAGTGAAAAACCCATGCCCTGCAACAAGGAGGAGCCCTCGCTCACCTAGAGAAAGCCCGAGTGAGGCAATGAAGACCCAGTGCAACCAAAAATAAAATAAATAAAATTATAAAAACCTCAGAGCCTCAGTAGGGGACAGACAAATAGCTAGCCAACCCTAGTTCGGTGCCACTAGCGCTGTGCTGTGCGGAGGTGGGGTCGGAGGTGGAGGCGAGTGGGCAGAGGAAGAAGGGGTCCTACCGGGATGTGAAGGAGGGCATGGAGCTCACTCTTGGTGAGATGGGGGCTGGTCGGCTTTCTGGAATGGATGCTATGCAGTCTGTTTATCAAACCAAAGGGGGAGTGAGCCAAGCTCTGGAGGCGTGTCACTGACAAAGCCCTAAAATGGGACCATTGTTTGGGGTCCCACAGCAGCTAGCTGCCAGAGCCCCTTAACCATCAGCACAAACACCTTTCCTTGTGCAAAGGAGTGCGAGTCACACACCCCAGGCTCTCCCTTTGAGGAGGGTGTCCCTAGGAGTGCGTCCCTAGGAGGAAGTGTGGTTTGAAAAGCCCAAGACTTCTAAGGATGTAGGTGCCTCGAAGGAGAAGGCCACTTTGGATTCCCTAATGTCTAGCTGAAACTCCAATACTTTGGCCACCTGCTGTGAAGAGCTGACTCATTGGAAAAGACCCTGATGCTGGGAAAGACTGAGGGCAGGAGGAGAAGGGGACGGCAGAGGATGAGATGGTTGGATGGCATCACCGACTCAATGGACATGGGTTTGGGTGAACTCTGGGAGTTGGTGATGGACACGGAGGCCTGGCGTGCTGTGGTTCATGGGGTTGCAAAGAGTCGGACACGACTGAGTGACTGAACTGAACTGATCTGAAGCTAAAGGAATATTTACCGTAGTGTAATAAGCAGAATAAGACTTATCTGGTGGCTCAGACAGTAAAGCGTCTGCCTGCAATGTGGGAGACCCGGGTTTGATCCCCGGGTACGGAAGATCCCCTGGAGAAGGAAATGGCACCCCACTCCAGTATTCTTGCCTGGAAAATCCCATGGACGGAGGAGCCTAGCAGGCTGCTATTCATGCCATGAGCCACGCTGTCCCCTCGGCCTCTGATCCAAGATAGCCTGCCCATCCTCTGAAAGATTTGGAAGTTTAAAGCCAACTCTGCTCCTCTCAAACGACAGTCTAGCCCAAGGGCCCCTCACGCTTCTGTAAAACCCCAGGCGGGACCAGAATACCTGGAGGTGAAGTAGAGACAGGCCCCACCTGGGCAGTGACTCTGGCCACAGACCATCTGGCCTGTGGTCCTGGCCACCCACTCACAAAAAACCTTTCAGGTGATGACGGCTTCAAGTCACCCTGCCAGGGGTCTGGCTGGGTTGCTCTTTACAATCGTTTGAAATGTACTGATCACCAGCTCTGCTCACCAACATGCTAGGTCCCCAGATCCCTGAGTCCTGCCTCCATGAGCGAAAACTAATCACGGGATCATTTCTGTTCCTCCGGAAGCAGGAACTGTCCCAGGCCAGTGCAGAAGCCACAGAGAGCAGCGTTGTTGGGAGACTCTGATCTGATGGTTTATAAAATAAACCGAGATGGTCTCGGAGCATCCGCACAGAGCCTGGACCATTTGACAAGAGCCAGCAACTGCAGGCTGGCGTCTCTGAGAACGTTTTAGGTGCAATAAGTTGATGGGCAAGATGGAGCTCTTCCTATTTCAGTATTTGCGGCGTCTCTGCTGGCGCCAGGTCTGACTTTGCTCTCACGAGAAGCTCTTACTGGGCAGTTCCTCTGACCGTCATCTATTGATTCTGGGCCAGTCAGCGTCCAGATCCTGGGACGTCTCCTGTCCCCTGGACAAGACTTGCTAGGAAGCCCTTCTGAGGAAACTCCACTTAGCGACTGTATTTCAGAATTTCTTCATGGGCTTGCACACTCATGCATGCACATGCACACACACACACACACACGTAATGTTTTTTCTGTCATCCACCAGCTGCGGGAGGCCACCACTACCGTCCACATCAGTCACCGCCACCGCACGGCTTTGGGCTTGGGCTTGTCATCAGTTACCTGAGAGTGCCTTGCTTCCTTCCCTCCCTCCCTGGGAGGTTAAGAAAATAAAGATAATAACAGTGAAAGCCTAGAAAGCCCGACACAGTCCCTGCAGAGAGCTTGGGGGAGAGAAGACTCTGTGCTATTTCCCTCTGTAATTGGAAAAGTCCTCAAAGAGCCCTCCCCTCGCATCCTGGGCAAAAATCCAGAGAACAAAACCAGGAGGCTCCGCTCGGACGCTTCCCCCCTTCCCCTCGCCCAGCACTTCCCGCCCGGTGAATCCTCAGTGGGCAAGCCGCTCCCTGCCCAGCCCCGCCTCAGTTTCCCCGTGGGCTCAGACCGCCCCCGGGACTCTCTGGGCTTTGACCCCATCAGCCCCTCTCGCGTTTCTTGCCCGTGAATCACGAGTGGTGCCCACCGTCTACTCAGAGAGCGTCTGAATCACCCTTTTCACTTTCCCCTGTGTGAGCAGAGATTTCTGCTTCAGGAGACACATCCCTAGTGCCCTCCCTCTTGCCCTGATCGCCCGCCGCCCCGCGAACGCGAACGCTTCAGCCCACCCCAGTGGGATGCCCTCTCAAAAAGAAACCTCCCTCCGGACGCGGATTCTAGCGAACCCCACTTTTGGCCCGAGTGACAGAGTCAGCCCCCTTCGGTGGCTCAGAAAGACTTTTAAGAGAGAGGAGAGGAGCCTGGGACAGAGTGGCACAGAGTCCAACCTACCGCGCTGGAGCCTTCTCCCTCCTCCAGAGGCGTTGTCTTCGGCACCGGCTCTGCAGGGCCTTGGCTGGCTCTCCCTGCAGGGCTCCGGCCTCCTTTAAATTTCAAGGCAGGGGGTGGGGTCGCTGGCCCCAGGTGGGCGGGCTTCTCTGCGGCAGGAGGATGCCTAGTGGACACTGGGCCCCGCAGGAGCCAAGCTGGGGCGGGCCTCTTTTCATAAAGAGGGGGAGGAATTTCCCCCATGGAAGCAGCCCAGCCCATCCTGGCTTGGGGCCAAGCTGATTATTCATGGTCCTGATGTCATCAACGAATCACAGGAATTTGGGAGTCGGATGTTGGAGGGGAACCTGAAGAACCAACTGTCTTCCTGTCAAACCGTAGTCTCAACCTCATTAAAGGGACCCTGAGGATCCATTAGCTCTAAGCCCCAGCGGGGAGAGAGGCATTTACAATTCTAAACAAAGACACAGGGAGTAAATGGGGTTCTTCTGGAATCTTCAGCAGTCACTCTGCCCCTCTGGACACAGTAGATTGAACAGCAGGCCAGGCGGGCCAGCCGCCCTGTGGGCTGGAGCACCTGGGGCTGGGGTGAGAACAGGTTAGCAGAGGTAGGCAGGTCCCACCTTCACACCTGCCGTGCAAAGTGCCCCAGCCTGGAGTGAGCCACTCCTAGCTCCACTGCCCCGGTGGGGGAAATCATTTCACTTCTTTATAAAGTGAACCCTTGCTTACTGAGATCTTCTCAGTTCCAGAGATCCCTGGTTGGGCTGGGGGATACAGGTGGGGTTGCTGAGTCGATGCTCTGACTCCACAGGGCTGCCTATGCTAGAAACTCCATCCCTCCCCACCCACCCCGACACTGGGAAGTGTTTTAGTGTTCTGGAGCTTGCTCTTAATCGTAAATGCCCTGTCAGATTTGGTAACCCCCCGCAGAGGACACATAAGCCAGGGCTGAGCCATGTAGGGAAAGGCAGACGCTTGAATCAGCTCTACCGGGCATGAGGCATGTGATCTCAGGCAAGTTTTTCAGTGATGCTGAGCTTTCACGTCTGAGGTCACATATGGGTTAGAGAGAGACAAATCTCGCGAGGTCCCTGGCACCTTGCAGGGCGCAGCCGGTGGCATCTGTTATGTTGATGTCTAGTGGAGACCAGGCAGCGTGAGGGTGTCCGAGGAGGACGAGAAAGGATGTTGAGAGGATGCCAGGGGCTGGCCGTGGAGAGTGTGTGGGATGACCGGCCAGGTGTCCTGTATTCTGACCCTAAACATGCACGTGTTTACTAAGCTTGTGAGAGCTGATTCAGGGTTTGGAAAATAAGGCTAGCGTGGCCAAGGTTGAACCAGTTTTCTACATTTTAATCAAACCAGAGCCCTGCCAATGGCAGAGGGGCAGTGGGGGACCAAGTCAGGCACATCCTGGTGCGTTGGAGCCAGGAGAGCTGCAGACCAGCATCAGACAAGCGACAGCAGGCAGGGGTGGGGGTGGGGGGTGACTCGAGATAGTCTACTTTGCCAGAATGAGGCTTGGAGGGTTTTGGGGGTTCTTTTTTGGCATTTTGGTTCAGCAGGGGTGAGGGCGGTAGTAATAGGAATTTAATTTGGGCTCCCGTAGAGGATGAACAATCACATAGAGACTGCAGTCTGGGTACGTGCACTGAAAGCTTAGGCAGAGACCCTACCGTTGAGGGGGTGAGGGCCTGTATGTGACTAAACAGGAGGGCAGAGAGATTCTCCCCCCACCCCACAGCAGCCCCCTTCCTTGTCAGGGTGCCTACAATTCCACCCATAGAAACGTGATCCCTTGGTACATATATACAATGGAATATTACTTGGCCATTAAAAAGAATGAAGTAATGCCATTTGCAGCAACATGGGTAGACCTAGAGATGGTCTTATTAAGTGAAATAAGTCAGATTGAGAGAGAAAAATACCCATATGATAGCACTTATATGTGGAATCTAAAAAAAAAATGAATACAAATGAACTTATTTATAAAACAGAAATAGACTCACAGATTTTGAAAACAAACCTGTGGTTACCAAGGGGGAAACGTGGTGGGGGGAGAGATGAGGAGCATGGGCTTGACATGCACACACGACTGTATATAAAATAGATAAAACAAGGACCTACTGTACAGGGACCTCTACTCAACAGTCTATAATGACCCATATGGGAAAACAGGCTGAAGAAGAATGGATATATGCGTATGTACAACTGACTCACTTTGCTGGACTCCTGAAACTAACACAACGTTGTAAATCAGCTATGCACGTTGGTGAGTCGCTTCAGTCATGTCCGACTCTCCGTTACCCTACAGACTGCAGCCCACCAGGCTCCTCTGTCCGTGGGATTTCCCAGGCAAGAATACTAGAGCGGGTTGCCGCGCCCTCCTCCAGGGGATCTTCCCCATCCAGGCGTCAAACCCGCATCTCTGAATCTCCTGCACTGGCAGGTGGGTTCTTTACCACTAGCACCACCTGGGGGAAGCCCAAATACTCTAAAATAAAATAAAAATTTAAAAAGAGAAACATGACCCCTTAGGTTTTTAGGCCCCAGTTAAAATGCATATTTGATCAGTGAAACTTCAAAGTGGTCTCCAGTGGGGAGGAGCTGTCTGCCAGACCCGGGCTGGACTGGTGTCTTGAGGCAGACTTAGCTCCAGGGATTGGCAGGGGAGAGTTTTCCGGTCGCCAGCAGGTGCCCCAAGCTTTGTGCCCCGAAACACAATCCTATGACTCACACCCACAAATACCCGGGTCCTAAGAATGGGTCTTTGTGTTCCTACTAAGTATGAGAGTGCCTTTCTCTTTCCTGAACTCTGGGAAAGGCTAAGAGTGAGAAGGTGGGAGTAGAGACTCCGCTCAGATGACAATGGGAGCCTTGAATTTTTAGTCACAAGATGACTGCGGAAAAAAAAAAGAAAAAAAAGGGAAATGAAAATTAATCTTGGTGAAATCACATCCTGGGAAAATTGTATCAAAGGGTTTTGCTTTCAAGGAAGAGAAATAAAACTCAGGCAGATAACACGGAGGCCAAGTGGGACCAGAGAACAGGATGGAAACATTCCTACAGAATTCCTACAGGGCTGTCCAGCTGATGCTGTTTCTGCAGCGGCCCCTCCCCTGCAAATCGTGAGTCACCAGCCCCGACCCCTTATCACCCAAGACGGGCTTGAGAACAGGGACTTCGCTGAGACCCCAATCAGCTGAGTAAGAAATGACATGATGTCTGAAAACTCAGAGAGAGAAATGGACAAGAGGTTTATGACAAGATGGCTTGGCACCAGAAAGCAGAAATGTTGTGTACATTCTAAGAGGGTTTAACTTGGGTAGCCATCTGGTTTTTCAGGGATGAGATAAAAATCACAGTGGATCTGACACGGTGTCACTAGACGGGTGCTCTCTATGCCTTTATCCCGACCACACTCTCCCACTGGCCTGCTGTCCCAGTGACTTGCCGGAACAGGACAGGCCCGGCGTCCAGGAAGTGCCCTGAAAAATGGCTATTCTTGTACAAATCATACACCAGGATGTATTCGAGTGTTGTGACCTACCCTCACAACTTTTCTGCAAGTTGGAAATTATTTCAAAATAATACCGCATATTGCCACACTAAATGTAAGATAATAATACAGGAAGAGGCAGAGATATGTGTAAACTCCATTTTATGCTTAATTTTCCTGCGAACAAAACTTTTCTAAAAATGTTGATTATTTCTAGAAATACTTACTTTAAAATTCAAAAGGTGGCCATTTCTGATACAGAATGGCACAACAATATTATATTTATGTATGTACATTTGACAAATTGTGAACAATAAATTCTACCTCTAATGTTATTTTCTAAATTGAATTTAAACATGGCAAGATTATATCTTATTTAAAGAGACAGACATAAGCTTGTTTTACATGTTGATTTCAGTTGATGTGTAATCATCTCTAACATTTGAATATTCTTTTCAAATGGCACCAAGAATCCAGTTTTTATGGGTTTTTTGGACAGAGATTAACTGGTCTGTGAAACCACCCACCACAATCTATTTATATGCATATTCCTCTTACCTAATCTGGCTTCCCAGGTGGCACAGTGGTTAAGAATCCACCTGCCAATGCAGGAGACCAGGGTTGCATCCCTGGGTCGGGAAGATCTCCTGGAGAAGGGCATGGCAACCCACTCCAGTATTCTTGCCTGGAGAATCCCATGGACAGAGGAGCCTGGTGGGCTACAGTCAATGGGGTCACAAAGAGTAGGACACGACAGAGTGACTGAGCATGCATGCCTATCCCTCAGTATTTATAAGGATTCTATCAGCATCTTGGGATTGTAAGGGTGTCCGTGGTCCATTAAGTTTGGGTACATGAGCCTCAGAAGTGGCGATTGGAGTCGCTGTCTGGGTGATGCTGGGGTGGGGTGGGGGAGGTGAGGCTGGGGTGAGGGGTGACGTCGTACTGTATCCAGAGTCACCCAACCTGGCGGCCTCATCAGAAGCATATACTTGAGTTGTTTCCTTTCAGCCTTTCTGGTCATTTCCCTTTTGTTTTAAAATAACAACAGCAGTTATCACCAAATTAAGAGGCTACAGAACTACCCAAAGCTGACTCTTCGGGGTCAAGTCCTGGCTGTGTCTGGGACAGGCGCTCAGAGAACATCAAAGCTGGCTGCACCTCCCATGACTTCACCCAACACTGTTGGGTGGGCGAGGCTGTTCTGGGCAACCAGGTCACCGAGGGGGAGCTACATGTGTCCAGGGTGACAGGAACACCCAGTTTCCACTTACCCCCTCTGGCTGCAGCATCCCAGGCTCCCTGCCCACGGCCTCTTCCTGAGTGGAGCATTTTTGCCTGGTGAATCTCCTCTGGTGTGGCCTCCACAGCGCCCGTCTCCTCCACCCCAGGGAAGTGATGTGTTTTCTAGGGGATGCGCTCTTAACTCATCCCAACTGATCGTGCATTTCTTTCCTCTCTGAGGGGTTTGCACCAATCCGAACAAATCTGACATCAGATTTTTTCCAGTTCTCCTTTATCTGAGGGGCACAGGGTTTCCTGTTTGACTCTAGATTGATGGCTTTAATCCTATCCCAAATGTCACTTGTCCTA